GCCTCCTCGCCGTTTAATTCCTTGAAACGCAGCTCGACTAATCCTCTGAGTGCAGCACCGGGGACAACCAGTTCGCCGTGGGGCTCGGCTTCGCAAAATGCCAGCTTCTCGCCCATGGGGGCCTTCGGAGCGTTCTCTCTCGGCACGAACCCCACGGAGAAAAAACCAGGCTTTGGCAGCCTTCGCGGGGAAAGTCGCCTGAAGGGCCTCTTTTCGAAGGAGAGCTCGGAGGATATATCAGCTGCGGTGAAGGAAAAGCCGTCCATGAGCAATCTGGAACGCTTGGCAGGTGAGGGTGAGCCGCGCTCGCAGTCGCCGTGGGGGGAAACTCTCAAAACCCGCACCGGACGGAGTGAGACGAACCCATTTCAGGAGGAACCTCGGAGCGGCAGTGCTGCACTGGGGGGATCTCAGGAACTTCCATCCCAAGGCGCCGACCCGACCGGATTCGCCGCGTTTGGAATGACGTCCAGTATCCCCGGCTTTCGAGAGCTGATCCAGAGCCACGAGAACTCGCGTAATCCCACCCCCAGTTTACTCCAGGGTCATGAGCCCACCAGCCCGACCAATACGAACCCGTATCAAAGCCCCCATGGGGACCGAGGAGACGTCGATGATGTCGAGACGGACGGCTCTGATATCCAAACCTCGCACCATCCTGGCCTCACTGGACTGCGTGACACGACTGCGTTTGGCTCGATCAGACGAGTCGGGTCGGGCATGGACTTGCCTTCGATCGATCGGAGCGCGACGTCCAGCGTGGCCGGAAACCGCAGCTTCTCCAGCTTGGGTGGTTTGGGTGGCCTTCCCTCGATTGGAGGGGCGGCCGGATGGCCTGCAAGCGGTGCCATTGGCACTCCAACCAGGGAACGATCTGCTTTTGGCGGCGGCGGCGCCTTTGGCGATCCCATCTTTGGCACGATGGCTGATCTCCAGTCCCCTAGTTTGTCGACCCTGGGAGGAGGCGGTCTCTTCAGCCCTGGCATCAGTGGCACCGGCAGCATCGGGCGCTCGAGCAAGCTAGGGTCTCTCTTCCCTGCGGCGATGCAGGAGCAGATGCAAGGCGATCCAGCACGGGCTGATCTTGGCAGCCTGGACGATGGCTCCCGGCAACCAGGTATGATCCCCCAGGGGTCAACAGTACCACATGATATACTAACCCACGGTGAAGATCCCCAGCAGGCAGACAAGTCTGGTCAAACCAACCCACCTACCACCGCATCTACTTCCCAGACTCCTGTCTCTGCCGTTGGCTCCATCCCCACCTCCATGGCCCCTGACGTACCTCCACCTAGTCAGACTCCCGGACAGCCTGGAAGCAATGGCGGCTCTGTTCCTCCTGCTCAACAGCGGACTATGGTGATGCCCGATCGTATGCGCTGGATTTACCGCGACCCACAGGGGAACATCCAGGGTCCTTGGACGGGCCTTGAAATGCACGATTGGTTCAAGGCAGGCTTCTTCAGCCCGGACCTGCAGATCAAGAAGCTCGAGGACCCAGAATTTGAACCGCTGGCTCAGTTGGTGCGGCGCATCGGCAATTCGCGCGAGCCCTTCTTGGTTCCTCAGATCGGGATCCCTCATGGACCCGATCCGAACCCTGGTCACTGGACAGGAAACACGGCGGGTGCTGCTCAGCCTCCCTTCCCTGGCAGCTTCCCAAGCTTTGGTACGACGTTGACCGCCGAACAGCAGAATGCCTTGGAGCGGAGGAAGCAAGAGGAGCAGTACCTGATGGCCAGACAGAAGGAACATCTCGCACAGCAACAGGCCATGATGAAGCAAATGCAATTCCAGGGACTGCCCCCCACTATGCACCCCCATCAGCTCCAGCATCATTCGAGCGCCCACAGTCTTCACAGCCAGCCCAGTTTCGGTAGCATTGCTTCGCCTGTTGGTTTCCAACCATCGCCAATCCAGGGACCTATCCAGCAGCAGCAACAACAGCAGCAGCAGCAGTCGCAGCCGCAGCCGCAACCTCTTGGTGGCTTCTTCGACGCCGCCGGTCCGATAAGGCAGAGCGCCCTGCCCAACGTTGGTCCTGGGATGATTGGGACTGAGCTAGGCGGCAGTCAGGATCAGCTCCCTGCCCTTCTTGAGCGTCTGAACGTCAACCGACCGGATCCGTTCGCTTTTGGCAGTGCAGCGCCCTTTGCCACTCGGCAGCCGGACAGCTTGTTCCATCAACAGCAGGTTGCCACCATGCTCCAAGATCGGGCTCAGCTGCAACAGGAGCAAGAACAATTTGACAGCACTCAAGGTGACAGCTTGTTCGACCAACAGGCCCGTGAAGAACGGCTCCGCCAGTTCCATGCTTTGAGGGCACAGGAAGATGAATTCGGCATGCGCACTGCTGAGGGACTTCCCACTCATCCAACCACTGGTCCTTCTCCCCCGCCTGAAGCCGAGTCGGTCCAGGATGTTGACCTCGACTCCCCCCCGGTGGATGCAGAGCAACCTACTGTAGAAGACGAAGAACCGATCCTCACTCTTTCCCAGCAGGTTCAGAAGGCTGCATCCGCTCAGAGACAGCAGCAGGAGCAGCAGGAGCACGAACAGCAGCAGAGCCAGGCCGCGAATGAAGCAGCATGGGCCGTCAAGGGTGATCCAGCCATGCCCCAGCCGTTCCCTCCCCCACCGTCCGCATCGCCGCTCCCAGCTCCCGCGGCACAGCGCAACCGTCAGAATGTTGCGGAATCGCTCGCAGCCAACTCGAGATCTCAGACCCAGACTCCTGTGGAAGCCCCTGCCACGTCCATTGCCCCATGGGCCAAGGAGGCGCATGAGGTGCCCAAGGGACCGTCGCTGAAGGAAATTCAAGAGGCCGAGGCTCGGAGCGCTGCTCAGAGAGAAGAACTGGCAGCCGCTGCTCGTCGGGCTCAACTGCTCGCAGAGCAAGAGCGTCTTAGCCAGGCTCAAGTCCAGACGCCTGGTCTCCCATCGACTGCCAACTGGGCCAGTGCCGGATCTCCGTCTACTCCCGCGTCCACCGGGTCGGTGTGGGGTAACAACAAGGCCCCGGCCGCTGCTACCGGCGGTGCGAAGAAGACCCTCGCGCAGATTCAGAAAGAGGAGGAGGCTCGTAAGCAGCGTGCCGCTGCCGCTGCCGCTGCCGTCGCTGCTCAGAGTGCCGTTGCCGCAGCGCCCAGCCCCCCAGCCCCATCTTCTACTGGCAAGCGGTATGCGGATCTGGCTAGCAAGGCTCCTGCTCCTGCTGCTCCTACCACTCCCGCCACTACGGGTGCTTGGACCACCGTGGGTGCCGGCGGTAAGGCCCGAGCTCCTCCGGCTGCTCCCTCCGGACCGCGATCGACCACCGCAACGACTCCTTTGGCGGCCTCTCCCGTGAAGCCCAAGCCCGCTACCATTTCCACTCCGCGTGCCGTTTCCGTGAACACCGTGACCCCGGCCAACCCTAACCGCGCCGTCGAGGAGTTCACAAAATGGGCCAAGCTGGCACTGGGCAAGGGGTTGAACAGCAACATCAATGGTATGTCTTCGTTCAAATTAGTATCTGTCTTATGAAAATGCACTAACGTTATTTAGTGGATGACTTTGTTCAGCAGCTGCTATTCCTGCCGGCCGAAGCGGAGATCATCTCGGACTCGGTGTATGCCAACTCGCAGACGCTGGATGGCCGCCGATTCGCCGAGGAGTTCATCCGTCGTCGTACCTTGGCCGACAAGGGCATCGTGGACCCCGTCGCTGCCAGTGCATTTGCGGAGAAGAGTAGCGGTGGATGGAGTGAGGTGGCCAAGAAGGGATCGTCGAATGCGAACCGGGAAGAGGATAGCAGCAATGCCGCGTTCAAGGTTGTTGCTCCTCGCAAGAAGGGCAAGCGGTGATTGTGAATAGTGGCATAGCTCCTTGTGAATATTTGCCAGAGATGTACTAGTAGTTTTGCATTCCGCATGATTGGTGATCGAATGGTGATGAGTTGCATGCTTACGTTTGCTTCGTAGATGTCATCGTATACCTCCAGTAGGACTTTCCGAGGTGGATTGCCACTGGCTTGAATTGTATAGGGATGTTTTAAGTTGGGGTCCACTGATCCAGTCCGTCTGCATCTATCTTCTCCCAGACAGACAGTCAACCAGAAGAGTTCGGACTAGCCGGTAATATCCTAGAGAGATCAACATCCCTCAAAACCAGGAAATACTAAACAGCATCGCAGAACTCACCAAGTGAAATGCGACGAAACACCCAGAGCATGCCGGAACTGCACATCAACGGCCAGACATGTCGAGGGATACAACATGTATCGCCTGTCCATCAAGCGTCAGCAAGGCGGTCTTCCCCACAGACAGACTACGGTGATATCTGACCTCCGACGACCGACGATGTTATTCCTACACGTAGCCGCCGATATCGTCTCGTTTACGGCGCAAGTTAGTGCTCCAGATGAGCGAGGCGGTTATTGGGCTGAGAGTGTCTCCGCAGCCTGCAAGACCAATACAACCATGCCTTTGGCCGTCCGCGGAACGGGGTCCAGATCTTGAGCGAACTGGGGTGGGACTTGAGGCCATTGCAGGAAAGGCGATTGAGAACACGCCGGGATACATACGTGTCGGGCTGCTTGCCGTTCTGTACGGTTAGTCTCGGAACAGCCAATCTAGAGACTATTCGCACCAGTTTGTACTGTTTAGTAGAGATACAATGTAGAACTATGACTAAAGTTGCAGCTTGAATAGTTACCAGGTAATTTGATTCTTAAGTCACTGCTAACTAAGCTAGTTAGCTGCAGCTGTCCGCCAAATCTAGTATCCGATACGACAGGGAATCAATAGGACGATTGTTGGAAATACGAAGCCTGACTTCTTCTATAATCCATTGCATAAGTAGATGTTTACTAACCACACTAGTACGATCGACATCGTGTCATCCATCTGACTCCGCACCGTGACTCACTACACATCACTTCTATATAAATCCAGCCCGGCCATTGAATTAAGCAATCTCCCCGCCTGAATCTAACTGAACTACAGTCTACCACCACCAAAATGACCACCCCCTTCGGCCACCCCATGAGGGAGCACTTCCTCTTCGACGCCAACTTCAAGAATCTCAACCATGGTATAGTAGCAACAAACAACCCTCCCAGCCTTAATATAAATTTAAAGAAACCAACTAACAGACAACGCAGGCTCCTTCGGCACCTACCCGCGCGCCGTGCAAACCGCACTGCAGCAGCACCAACAAGCCAGCGAATCCCGCCCAGACCACTTCTACCGGATCGCCCGACCCCAAGGCATAGACGAGTCACGGCGCCTGGTCGCCAAGCTGCTCAACATCCCAGTAAACGAATGCGTGTTCGTCAAGAACGCCACCACAGGCGTGGGCACCGTGCTGCGCAACCTGGCCTTCCAGGCCGGCGACGCCGTCGTCTACTTCGACACCATCTACGGGGCCGTGGAGAAGGGGCTGCACTCGCTGATGGAGGCGAGTCCCGTGGTCGCCCGCAAGGTCGAGTACCAGTTGCCGGTCAGCCATGAGGAGCTGGTCAGACGGTTCCGGGCTGTGGTGCGTCGCGCGCGGGACGATGGGCTGAACGTCCGCGTTGCGGTGTTCGATACTATCGTTAGTATGCCCGGGGTGCGGTTCCCATTTGAGACGCTGGTGAGCGTGTGTCGTGAAGAGGGGATCCTGAGTCTGGTGGATGGGGCGCATGGTATTGGGCATATACCATTGGATTTGGGGGTGTTGCGGCCGGATTTCTTTACGAGTAATTTGCATAAGTATGTTCATTACCCCCCTTCCCCCCTCCCTCCTTCTCCCTTTTCTATATGTTATTCTTTAAATGTGATTGACTACTGGGTATGTATTGCTCTGGGATTGATGGTAATACAGATGGCTGTTCGTCCCCCGCGGTTGCGCCGTCCTGCACGTCCCCCTCCGCAACCAACACCTAATCCGCACCACCTTCCCGACGTCCTGGGGTTACATCCCGCCAAACCAGGTCACCACCACCACCACAACGCAGGGGAAATCCGCCTTCGAGTATCTCTTTGAACAGACCGCCACGACAGACGACACGCCATGGCTGTGCGTGCCCGCCGCGCTGCAGTTCCGGGCCGAGGTATGCGGCGGCGAAGACCGCATCTACGCCTACCTGGAGAGCCTGGGGCGCTCAGCAGCGGATATCGTCGCGCACGCACTGGGGACAGAGGTGATGCAGGAGCCCGGGCTGCAGACAGGCGAGGTCAGCCAGCTACGGAGGTGTGGGTTGGCTACGGTGCGATTACCGATTGCCGTGGCTGATGGCGATGGTGCCAATGCGAATGCGAGGGTGTCCGGCGAGGATGGCACGTCGTCGTATCTGCGGATTCACTCGGCGCTGGTGCCGACGGTGAGTACCTGGTTCCGGGATACGCTGTTCGAGCAGTATGGCACGTTTGTGCCGGTGTTTCGGCACGGGGGGTGGTTGTGGACTCGACTGAGTGCGCAGGTGTATCTGGAGAAGAGCGATTTCGAGTGGTTGGGGGGTGTGTTGAGGGAGTGTTGTGGGAGGGTGGAGAGGGAGGTTGTTGGGCTGGCGAAGCTTTGATCTTTTTTGTTTTTGTTTTTATTTTTATTTTAGTACTTGGATGGTGGTAACAGGCCATGCAATATCATATATAGTTCATATATATATACCTGTTCTACCCTGATATAACTACACCAAGCCTTAGATGCGAAATTATACAACACCCACACACCATGCTATCTATACTATACAACACATATGTACAGAATACACAGAAGCAACTACTTACTCCCTCCGCCACACCCGCCGTCCATCAAACCACGTCTCCCACACCTCCGCCTGCAACAACCGCTCCGCCTCCCAAGCCATATCGACCACCACGAAATCCGCCTTCTTGCCCACCTCTAGCGTCCCCGCGAACCCATCCGCAAAGCAACTATACGCCGACCCCGCGGTAGCAGCCGTAATAGCCTCCAACAACCCCAGGCTGAAATGCTCATTCACCGTCTCCAGCGACTCGGGCTCCCTCGCCGAGCGCCGCGTCGTGGCCGTATACAAGTTCCGTAGCGGCAGATGTGGCGCCGTGGGTGAATCCGTGCCAATGGCTAGATGCGCCCCATGGTCCAAGAAATCTTTGTACGCAAATGCCCGCCCACACCGGTCCGGCCCCAGCAACCGCGGCCACGCGCGCAGGATAGCAGGATCGGCATGCACGGGCTGCACGGAGGCGGTGATGCCCAGGTCGCCGAGGCGCTTTGCATCCTGCGGCGCCGTGAGCTCGAGATGTTCGATGCGATGGCGGGAGCCGGGCGTGCCCTCGCTCTCGAGGCGTCGATGGCCAGCGTCACCGTGGCGTCGCCGATTGCATGGAGGGCGCACTGCAGGCCCGCACGGTCCGCCTTACGCACCACCTTCTTAAGGATATCCGCATCCCAGAGCGGGGCGCAGTTGTCCCCGTTGGACGCGTAGGGCTCGGTCAGGGCCGCCGTGCAGGCATCGACGACGCGTCGCAGATGACCTTGATGCCTGCGATGCGGAGATCCGGGCTCGTGGCCGCGTTGTACAGGCTGTGCAGCTCGATGGCGCGATCCACCTGGCGCAGCACCTCTTCCTCGTCGTCCTCGGGGAGATGATCCAGTGCGCGGCCAGGCGGATGTTGACCTCCTCGCGTTCGCGGAGGGCCAGCACGGTGCTCCACAGGTTCTCGTCCGTGGCCATCTCGACGACGCCCGTGTAGCCGGCGCGCGTGTACTCGCGGATGCCGGCGCGGATGAAGTGCAGTTTCTCGTCGAGCGAGGCGACCTGGGCGACGTGCGGCCAGACGATGTTCACGGCGGCGGCTTCGCTGAGGAGGCCGGTGGGGGTGCCTGCGGCGTCGCGGTGGATGACACCGCCGGCCGGGTCGGGGGTGTGGGCGACGTTGAGCTCGGCGAGAGCGGCGGAGTTGCACCACGCGGAGTGCAGGTCCTTGGAGTCGATGAAGATGGGGCGCGGGTCGAGGTCGTCCAGCATGGAGGCTAGGGCTTCGCCGTTGGTCATGGAGTGCATCCAGCCGCGGCAGAAGAGCCGCGCGGCCGTCGGGTTGGCGGCGGCGGCAGCTTTGATGGTGCTGCGGATGTCGGACAGCGAGGTGCAGTTCCCTAGGTTGATTTTGGACAGGCTTGCGCCGAAGAGGAGGAGGTGCATGTGTCTGTTTTGCTTTAGTCTGGGTATGCTGTACTATTGGGATTGAGGCTGTTGTATATACCCGTCAATGAAGCCGGGGAGGACTTTACGACCTCCCAGATCGTGGATCTCGCTGTCGGGGTGGAGGGTTGTTGCGGTGGACTCCTCGCCCAGGTAGATTATGCGGTCGTTCTCGGTGACCATGCATGTTGGGTTGGGGGATTGGGGAGTGACGAAGTGGCCGTTTCTGTAGAGGGTCTTCATGGCGAGGGCTGTTTCTCGGAGTGCTGTATAGGAATTGACCAGGAAGGAAGGAAGAAGGAGAGAGAGAGAGAGACAGATTGTATGAGGGGTAGACGTAGATCTAATCTTTGGTAGGGCGCGATTAGGGCGCAGGCATGTGGGGTATCAATCTATGTGGAGCTTCCATGGTACAATCTGATCCATCAACTTATCTATAGGATAACCAAAATAACGGTTCATTACTGCGTAACACTTCCAGAGTGACTTGGGTATGTCCATTCCATCCAGTGTCCAATTTACCAGGATCCCAGCTCTATATCGTCCCTGTAGCTGAGCAAACAAAAGCAAAGAACATGAACCGAGACAACGCCTACGGGTTGCCTCCGCCGAAATGGCTGCGAACCCAGCCGGCAAAGCCTCCGCCTTGATTGTCATTCCGACTGGATCGTTGATCCTGTTCCTGTCCTGTCTCGGGTCCAGTCCCGAACCACTGTGGCGGCGACTGTCCGCTATGCTCGCGAGCAGCGCCGCTCGGTCGACGGGGTGACGTCTCCGGACTACTGTTGATGACCACCGGGTTTTCGCTGCTTCCTTCTGGTCTAGAGAGAACAATCAGTGACGGAAGCAGACACGAGGGATCGAAACTTACTCTGCTGGAATGTTGATGCCTCGCCGGCAGTGAGGACACGTATTATGTTGGCTCAGCCACATCTCAATACAGTTGTAGTGGAACCAGTGCTTGCAGGGGAGTTCTGTGACCTCCGTGCCCAATTCTACCGGGTCCATGCAAATCGAACATTCCGCCTTGCCTTCGCTGCCCAGCATATCCTGGTCCACCTTTTTCTTCGGTAGAGACTGGATCGCACTGGGAGCCGCGGGAGGCGGCGCCGTCCCCCGTGCATTCTGATCAATCAGCTGTGATATTACCCGGTCTAGTTCTTCTTGCGAGTAGACCGCATCCCCATGCCGATCCAGGTTGAGCAAAGTCGACAAAATCGCAATGGGGTTCGGTCCGGTCATGACACGGACTCCGGGGCTACCGGGTGAACCGTTGCTTCCAAAATCATTTCGGAATAGCTCAAGAATACTATACAAGTCAGTCGCCAGTTAGAGCTCACTGCCCGAAGGAGAGAACATACTCGCCCAGAGTTCGTAGAGGAGTACCCATGGGCTGTGGACTATCTGCATCACGAGGATGTAGTCCCCCTGCTGTATGGAACTCGGACCCCATGCCCCCATTGCTCCGCGTGTTCATGTCGAAATCAAACGACGTGCTGTATACCCTCGAACCATTTGGGCTGAACCTTTGTTGGTTCTGCCTGTCGCTCCTCCACGGTGCCGGTGGTGAATCCCGCTCATTGGGTTGCCTGTACTCCGTCTGCCGGTAGGTGTCGGCCAACCATGGAAGATCGTGTCTAAGCCGCGTACCATAGGCATCAGAGGATCCGGCGGCATTTGCTGACCAGAACCACGCCGTGTGAATGTAGTGCTGGAAAACGTAAACCGGCCATCCGGAGATCTGTAGGTGTGGTGACGGTATCCATTGCCTGAGCCCCAGTCGGTGTCTCTGTTCAAGTCGTCATGATCCCAGGGGTTGTGGTCTGCCCATGGGTTTCTCGGGGGAGCTGGCCGGTCTTCAGGGACAGACGTTGGAGGATCGGGGAATTCTCCTTCCGTATCTGGCGGGATTTCGATCTGGCCCGTCAGCGTTGGCGTCCTTAGTCAACCGTTGTATAGCATGAAAAGGAGGGAGAAGGGAGGATGACACACAATTTCGGTGAACTCAGAGTGACAGTGTGGGCATTCCAGCCCATGGTCTCTGCGTAGCCATACCCCGCCACAGGCATGACAAAACATGCGATCCCCCACGTCGGCCATGATGGATGCGTCAAGGTAGGTTGTCGGGGTGAAGATCAGGAGGTGAGACGGCGTGCAACAAGACAGTATTCAGATATAGTATCACTAGGCAGACGGAATCGATGATAGTACAAGAGTGTCAGCCGTCGGACAATTGTACGGGACTAGTAGTTGAGGTGTCGCAATGCTTTCAGTCGAACTGCAACGTCACTCATTGTTTCAGGGCTACCATGCACAAGTTGCAGGCCAGATCAGTTGATCTGTTTGTTGACTAGCTTCAAAACCGCATTATAAGGTGAGGCGATGGTTTAGAGTCGTGTAGAAGTTGGTGGAGAACCAAAGAGGACAAATGATTGGGGAACGTCAGAGTTGTCAGGCGGATGACGTTTACCCTTGTCAAGTGACTTGGATTTAATATATCGTGATTTGATTCCCTTTCCTTCGCTTCCCTTCGATGATTATCATTATACAGAATAACAACAAAAATAGCAGACGTTGCCGGCCATTCAAAGAGTCATGTAATAATCACAAAAGCCAGCATGACCATGGACAATACAACGCCATCGCATGCGAAACATCCCAATAAAAGAGCAACAAAGAGCTACCATATATACACAGCGTAGATTCCCGACTTCAGGGACAAAGCCATTCACCAAGAGAAGACTCCCCATTACCGTCTCTTAGCGCCCCGGAACACCATACCTCCCACCACACCTGCGGCGAGAGCAAGCCCACCCACGATCGCAAACCCCAGCAATCCTTCCTTGGACACTCTCTCATCGATCAGGGTGCCGAGGCTGGCGGCCTGAAGGTTGGCGGGCTCCTTTTCGAGCAGAAGATCGTTGTATCGCCGGGCTTCGCCGTAGTTGCCAAGCTTGTAGTTACCGAGGGCCAGATAGTAGAGGCATTCTCGTCGACGTTCGGGGGCAGCGCGGAAAATCTCTGATAGCAAACGAACTCCTTCCTGTTGGTCCGTTCGTGCGTTGGATTTGATCAGGCCCTAGAAAACGACCATTAGTTAGTCGACATGAATAAATAAGTAGAGCCAAAGCTAGCTAGACATACCCAGGCAAAGTTGAACTTGGTTTGAATACCGACATAGTCACCTTCCTTTTCGTACTGCGACCGCAGGACCTGGAGCTCCGCTGGCTTCAGCGGACTATAATATGTTAGCTGGAATCAACATGAACAAGGAGCGGCGACATATCACCAACCTTTCAGCATCGGCGGCATCTGCAGAACCACCAGTCAGTAAGTAAACCAAAACAATAGCACGGGTAGGGTCATGAACGTACAGGGCAGGTTGGAACCCATGTTTTCAGGTAGATAGCCTTTCACAAACTGTATAAGTAAAGAAATAACTAAGGAAGAGTGAAATCTGAAGCAACCTTGCGTCTGTATCGAACACGATAGGCCTCCAAATCCAAGCGCATGAATCTGACCTTCCGTCACGGGTGGCGGTGCAAGTGGCGTACGTGGCTGACCCAGCCAGTTGCTCCCCCAACGCCGCAGATCAACATTATCATCCTGTCGGGATCAACCCCACGCATATATCGATCCAGGCCCACTACAGTCTTTTTGTGTTGTCGACATCAACTAAATTAGCTACAATGTTGCTCGACGAGAACCCAGGCACGGTATGTGCTTCAAAATCATTCTGGAATCTGGACTGACGCGTTGCAGCTCATCCACCATACCATTGGAAATTTCAACATCCAACCAGACAAACAAGCCGTCACCCGCATCAATGACTCCTTATCGACCCTTCAGCAGTCGCGCGAGCTGCGTATGCGCGAGGCCGAGTCCTCGCTGCGAAAGCTCTCTCGGCACCTCCACTCCTTGAACGCCCAGCATGAAGAAGCGGTAGCGGCACATGATTCGAGTAAACACGCGGCGGATATGGTTGAGCTAGACACGAAGAAATTCCGCATCGCAAAAGCAGCCACGGAGCTTGAAATCGAAAGTGAAAGACTGGAGAGCGAGCTGGAGATGTTGAAGGAACGATTGGCGGATTTGGAGGCTCAGGGGCTGGAGGGAGACGAAGCCACGAGACGGGAGAGGGAGCTGGACGACGCGACAATGTGGGTACCCAGAATGCTGTATGCCGCTTGCTCACTGCTAACTGAGGTAGTCTTCGCCTTAAAATTTACCGTTCCCTAGGCGTTGATATCGAGGCCGACGACGCAGGCAATTTCAACAAGGCCGTCATCCGCAATAGTCGCAAAGGGGACGTGCACGTCGTTAACATTGACCCCAAGTTCTCGCGATTCTTCTACTCCAACTACTTCTGGTCGACCTTGCAAGGTTAGCGGGAAGACTTTGTCAGGTACCGGCGTTTACTACTTGCGATGCTATGTCTAGGCGTTAACTGGTGACGATGCTATGATTTCGTTTTGTCTGGATATACCCTGGTTTTGTTCAAATAATATACACTATATACATAATACCTTTTAGCGGCTCTTCACCGTCGCAGCACCAACGTGCCCTTTTGTCACGTAGAAGTAGGCTTCATGTCGGACACAGCCTCAACCGGGGCAGACTTGCTGTCCAGAAACTGTATGACCTTCATCCTATCCGCATCAGTCAGGGTACTACAAGCCCCTGTTCCGAAAAGGAGAGGCTTCTCTTCCGGGAAAAGCTTCTGAACAGCATCTAGCAGCTCCGACTTGTTCCTCTGGCCCCCATCATCCCATGACCGCAACCAGCTATCCTCAACCGCACTGACCCGGCTTTCTACCTGTTCCATATCGGGAATCTCGTCCCCGTCCCAGGTGAGAACAACGCCCTTCGACGAGTCCGCATCTTCGTCCGCCGAATATCTCACCTCAACGCCCAAGTTCACCAGGCCGAGTTGCTCGGCCTTCCCATTCCACAAGACCTGTCGTAATGCCCCATCCCGCTCAATCATCATCCACATCAGCGGATACGTACTCCTCGCCAGGGTATCTCGAACGCCCTTGGTCGCTTCCCGCGGACTAACCAAGATGCCAACCTCGTCGCCTGTCCGCCAGCCCACTGGTGACTGGTTGAACGTCCCTTCCAGTTCGCGGACCAAGTTCGGGCCCAGTTTCGTCTTTAGTGATTTGCATTGCACGATCACGCGAAGCGGGTGTTCGCGGTGCGGGAGGTGCCAGGTTCCCACGAGGTCGATGCCTGCATCGTCGCGGCCGCCGACGCGGTGCAGTGTGAAGGCGGAAGAACGGAGGGTTCGTTGCACTATATACTCGTAGTGCATGCCTATGTAGGCCGTAGTGGTCGGAGAGAGAGACGTCCGCTCTGCGTAGGAGAGGAAGGAGGGGAGGTCATGATGGTGCGCGGATGGGTGTGGTGGAGGAGAGGGGAGCTTGAAGAGACGGCGCGTGAAGGAATGCAGTTGGCGATGACATTGGCGGCGGACGACCGAGGTGAGAATAAAGGAAGAGATGAGACGAGGGAGCTTCATATCAGCTTCCCATGGTATGTTAGACGTGTGAAGTACTTAATGTTTGCTTATGCGGGTGGCCATTCAATTGACAAATTGGAGAAAGTTGGAGTTGAATAAATCTAAAGCAAGGAAATCTTATCGCCGGCGATCTACAATTTATCGCCGATCAACCTCCGACAAGCTACAAGAACCTCTTTTATTCAATGCTCACCACCTTAACTGCATCTCCAACCTCGCCTTTTCACCTTTCTTCTAAATTCGCTCTATATATTCCACTATGGCAGACATTCTAACGCAGCTCCAAACCTGTCTCGACCAAGTAAGCTCCCCCAACCATGATTCCACGCCACATCCACACAACGTGCAAACTAACCACCGTGACAACCAGCTCGCAACCCAATTCTACGCCACAGTCGGTTACCTTGTAACCTATCATGATAACTCACCCGCAATCCCACCGCAACGACCCCACTGCTGCGCCCGCCCTCGCCAAAATCACCAAGAACTCGACCGCGCCGCCCGCCCCCGCCGGCGCGCCGGCTGCCTCCCAGGCATCCCCACAACAAGCAGCGGCTCAAATCCCAGGCCAACAGCAACAAGGAGGCGGTGATGCAGGACAGACACCTGGAGCTGGAGGGACGGCCGCCGACCCGAATCTGCCGCCCGCGCCAGATTCACCGCGGACGTTTGCTAGTCGGCAGCGGGAATTGGCGAGGGATTTGGTGATCAAAGAGCAGCAGATTGAGTATTTGATCTCGGTTCTTCCAGGAATTGACTCGTCGGAGGCGGAACAGGAGAGGAAGATTAGGGAGTTGGAGAAGGAACTGCGGAGTGCCGAGGAGGACAGGGAACAGAGAGTTCGGGAATTGAGGAAGTTGCGAAAGAAGCTGGAGAATGTTTTGGGAGGTATTGAGGTGGGGATTTATGGGGATCGTGGAGTCGTGGCGTCTAGCAGGTGAGGGAATTTTCTTGCAATGGTTGGGACGTATTCCTCAGTAGGAAGTGTGTTCTGTTTGATATCCATCTTGATTTTATAGACTATGGAGATGTTGTCCCATAGATGTTTAATGTTACTATGAAGCTTTGGACTAAACTATTGTGAATGACTCCGGAAATGTTGAGCTCATATAGGCCATGAGTAGTACGTGTTGTAGAATGTAGGTCAGGACTCTGTACGGGCCTGGTTTGGCCTGCGAAGACTTCAACCTGAACGACATGCGGCAGACGATGCCTTGACCATTACTGTAACTAGTACGCAAGTCAACGATACAACCAGCTATATTTGCAGATCCAAGGAAAGGAACCAAAATTCGATGATGGTTTTCCCGTCAGCTAGCCCTCACGAAAGTCAGGCCATATCTTGTTAGGGGGATAACTGAAGATCAAGAACGGATCCTCTCCTAAGTGATCGATTCGACCCTCCTGTCGACGCAATCATACACAATATCATGGCAAACGGTAACCTGAAGAGACCAAGTGGCTGTCATGCTTTTCAATGAGTGGAAAACCCTACCAAGAGGTTGAATGTATAGTGATTGCCGGTCTAGGAAACTATAGCTTCTGTTTTGTTGCTACGCTTATCCACTCTTTTGCAGGACATAATGTTTTTCTGCACACCTCATGACGATGGCCTGCATCTCGGTGGTTGCATTGCAGCGGGTGTAACATGCTAACCAACATCGACTATCACCCTATGCAGGGGGTAATCGTTTCAGAGACTCACTGGGTGAGGTGCAGGCTCGTATTATCTGGGTTACTGTCTCATCTGATGGAATCTACAAGATATCCACAACCTTAGAGCAGTTCTAAAGTTCGCTTTCTCAGGGACTTGCCAGAACTGACATATCGAGTGTGCCCCCCTTCAAATTAATCTGAATCACATTCGGGTCTCGTGAGGGCTTGCAGTATGGCCGTGATCCTGCCGTCTATGAGATGAATGGCAGCGGATGGATTCATATCCTTGTTGTAAGGGTTTTGATAGTTCCGAAGTCCCGAGGGGCGATGACGCATAGGATGTCTTGGTGAAATGCTTAAATAATTGCTGAAGCCTAACAGTCACTGTATAATCCGGTTCGTTCCGACACTGAGTTGCTCATTTGATTTATTCTTGTTACAGTTGCTTTCGATTGAGTCTGAATCCTGCTGGAGACGACTGGCACCACCATGTCTGAAACACGGCGGTAATGACATGGTGATCTGCGGAATGCTAACCCTGAGAGAGATTCTATTTCAGGCGGCATGATGGCTATGCTAGACTAGGATCAAAAAAGAAAACGAAGACCCTGCCAATGAATGTAACATAGGGCTATTGTTAGGGTTTTGGGGGTACTCATTGGCGCGGTCTAGCGGTTAGTCTCCGCGACTAGAGGCCGCCGGCTGTCAGTTGGGGCCTCACCAGCATCTCAATACGCTGGGTTTCTCATTAAATTTTGGAGCCCTTTTAGCGATGTTAGCAGATTTGGGGGCCGTCTCCACTATGTTCGGCCTTCTTTCGATTGATTACTACTTAATATCTCGCCTTCCTTCCTCACCTCTCCATACGACATCGTCATTCAATATCAGTACTGACTTGATATCATATATCACCAAAAGATGAAGCTTTTCTCAATCTCGGCCGCCTACCTGGCCGTCCCCATGGCCCTGCTTGTCTCCGCCCAGACGCAGCAAATGAACAAGCTCGGCTGCTACACCGATGGCACTGGTTTCGAAAACAAGGGCTCATACGCGTACCAAAGTCTGGGGTACTGCGCCAAGGTGTGCAGCCAGGCGAAGGCACCGTACATGGGCCTGCATGATGGTGCCGAATGCTGGTGCGGCACTTCCCAGCCGGACAAGAAGTCTCTCCAGCCGGACGACAAATGCAATAAATCCTGTGCCGGATGGCCCGAGGATCATTGTAAGCACTGCACCTGCCAGGAGACCTACCTCGACTGGGTTATATGCTAATGAATGACTACTTTAGGTGGTTCTGATACGGCGTGGTCTGTTTATCAACTATCTGCCGCCATGAAGGACGCGACCGAGTCTGTGTCGGCTTCGACCAGCCTTGCCAGTGCTACCCCCGGATCGAACAGTACTGCGTCTGCCACTACTGCGTCTGCAACTAAGTCGGGAAGTGCATCCCAAAGTGCCTCTTCAACAGGCGCTACCCCCACAACCTCTACCTCGGCTGCGACTCGTCGGTTCAAACTTCCTTTTTTCCTTTGATATAAGAGTACTGGGCATCCTTTAAGAAGCTCTTTGCTTGGTATTCATCTGAATAGTGACTGATCTGCCTGGAGCCGCTCAGCCTTGAATCAGATGTAAATTATACCTTCTCTATTTAGTTTCTCTGTCCATCAGATAAAATCTATCACCGGCTCTTTTGCGTAAAGAGTATAAGCCTACATGACCCTGGAGGTCTATATAGTGGAACCAAGTCTTGAATGGCGTCTCGATGAGGGAACGATAGAACATAGGGAAGGGCTCTCTTTAGTGAGCGATATCTAAATACATGGTAGCCTAACTGAACGTGATTTTTCATGAAATACTTCAGATTTCAATGCCCAAGATGTTGTGTTCACTTCTGAGCCCGTGATTTCCTACTCAAGTGATATAACAAATTTGGTGTCACATCCTCCATGCTCGACTCTCAGGGTTCTTCTCAACCATCGAGCTTCTTTTTGGTTAGCTTTAAACGTAATTGTCGGTGTAAATAGCTAGAGATGGCGCTTGGGCTAGGAGAGGTTAAATACTTTTATTATATACTTTGCGTCCATCTTTTCTATATTTCTTCATTACCTGTAGAGCCTAAAGTACAGCGTCTATGTTGTCACACCAACCCAACTGTGATAGCTCTATTGGTCTGCATAGCATGGACCTTTACATTTCCCATAGCATCCTTGACGATCCTATTTCAAGTTGAGGAACGCCTCCAGGTCCCACTATATCTCTGGATCCTGTAGATGATCAAGCTCATCCGAGATAGCCTCCCCGGTCCAGCCTGGCATATCATCAAGAAAACAAATCCTATCCACTTGACAAGCAACTTGCACGGTACTTATTCAGCCACAGCATCTCCAAAGCGCATCATGGCAAACCCATATGGTGCATGAGTATACCACTGAATATTAGAATTGTCGTCAGGCATAGTCAAGGTTGATAGGAGGTAGATAGTCATCAAGACCGAAAGAACAATCATCCCCGCCAGCGATATTGTCGGCGCTTGCGTATCCCACAGGGGCCTGCTGTGACGCTCAACGAGCGTTGCATATAACCACGCTTCTTAAATAGAGCCTTTTCTAGAGACAGTTCCACAGTGAACCCATTTTCCACATTTAGCAGGGTTATTCCCTCTGTTTGGCCAGCATTCGCAACCAGATCATTAGTGCCCACTCATCGCTGTTGCCTATGCCTGTTTTCGCAAGCTTACGATACGAACTCCGTCGATGCTTCGATTGAGTGGACTCACTAGAGGCTGGGGTGTACAGTAGCCGATTCTATTTTGTAGAGCGTAGTTGTCAAATTCTGATATTAGGAAGCGGAAGTAGTTGACATCACAGGATCAACATAATATGAACGCTAGTATACGTTGTAAAAGAGCTGTGCAGATACCATTCTATTAACTGACAAGTGATGAGACCATTCGTCCTTACACTCGCGACTAGATGTGGCGGCTGGGTCTCGGGGTAGAAGAGTCTGCTACACCCGAGTTCGTGTAGTTTGGCAATTCAGATACCCAACAGTCAGAGCCGCGGTGACCTCCAGTAGGCGAGAGGGCTTGTTATTTGGAAAGTATGACGTCTAGTGATATTCATATATAGAACTTCCGAGAACGTTGACGGTCTCGTGATTGTAATCTATGGATATTTTGTTTTCTGGAACTAGACATACCAGCCAAGTGGATTTGGATGCAGTATCTTTTGAATAATCGCATCTACATCTAGAATGAATAGTTGTTGATATCATCTATGGTCAATGGTAAATAAGACGGGGGTTACTCCTAAGAAATAATACACAAGGAATCAAATGGAACGTCTGTCCAGTACACCACGACCAATTTATCGAATAAAGAACTGTAATATAGACTGAAATCAATACATCTCAAAAGCTATGAATATCATGATGAGCTATAAAGAGCTGTACCAAAAGGGTAAAATCAGTTGGTACAAAGATGCGCGGTGGTGCCCAGTAGATTCAGCCTGTTGCATTGTCTCGAGCGCCGTGCGAAAAAGATAGAAACATCATCAGAAGAGCACCGTCATGGTTTTTCTTCTATAGCATCATCAACACGGTTATATAAATGAGCCGCCCAAGTTTTCCAAGAAGAGAGGTGCGTCTGCCATCTGCGACAATCCTTGGACATGCCTGAAGCAGGACCCGGATCCTATATAAGTATATACCTTAAGCCACATGGCTTAGCATTACGCAGTCAAACAATGGCCATTGTATAAGTAAGACGTGTGTTGTATATGTATCCATGACTTGTGAGTAGCCGGGCCACAACTAGAGAAAGCCCTGGCATCGATGTTCAAACTAAACACTCTAGGAGCTCTGCCCTCTTTTCTAAGCTACTTTGACGTCAATGGATTAGTCTCAATCCATGAGCATAGTACATACAAGAAAACTGGCCCTTCGTGCATACTACCCAGTCCCTCTAGCGAATTCTGGGGATCAGACCGTGGCTAGATTACTGAACAATCAAGAAGAACAAAGATCAATGGGCAAATTACGGAGTACTAATTTTTACCCTATAGTTATATCTTTCTATCTTTATTTCCGATCCTCGACTTTTTAATCAGTTTCTCAATATTCTGCTGAGCTGGCGGGTCAGTTAGGTTCAATCGCTTCACACTTTTCACGAAGCAACGACCTCTCTTCTAATAACAAATTGTAGTATTAGGGGCAGACCCACCATATTTTCGATCGTCTACCCGGTAATTGGTCTGAACCAGAGCCGGAATGTTATCGGCATCGGCCGCGAACCATGCTCTCGATGTCCGAAGGAGGCCACTAGACTTCAGTAGTTAGGGCTTTTTAGGCATGGATCGTCGTCAACAATGCATGAAGTGGGGCGACTATTGGGGTTTTGCGCCAGGAATGCGATCGGTACCTGATGATCGAAGGCTCAATCAAGAATAGTTCTTCAGTTCCAGCTGAAAAGTGTTCAGCCCCAGCTTGGCCGGCATTAGAAATATAACAGCATGGATGGCACGCGTCCCCGCCCTCTTTCTCGGTCTCTCTTCAGTCTGCTTACTGGTGTTTTTCTGCTCTCTGATTAATCCCACCACCCCTCTCCACCAGCATGGGAAACAGACCAGTATCGCTGGGCGTGATTGCCTGGTCTCTGCCCTGGGAGGCAATACAGGTCTCGTCGCTTTTCAAGACCAGCTTCTGTACCAAACTACCGCAGTTCATGAATACAACCTCAACATTCCAGTGACCCCGGCGGCAATCACTTACCCGGAGACGTCAGAGCAGATCGCTGCCGTTGTCAAGTGTGCCTCTGAATATGATTACAAGGTACAGGCGCGCAGCGGGGGTCATAGCTTTGGAAATTATGGTAGGCTAGCCCTATGATTGCCATGTAAATCTCTTTGTTAAAACACAACTAACTCAACTGGACACCAGGACTTGGAGGAGCGGATGGTGCCGTGGTTGTAGATATGAAGCACTTCACCCAATTCTCGATGGATGAACAGACATACGAGGCTGTCATTGGCCCGGGGACGACCCTTGGCGACGTAGACACCGAGCTATACAACAACGGGAAGAGAGCAATGGCGCACGGCATCTGTCCGACGATCAGCACCGGTGGACATTTCACAATGGGAGGCCTGGGCCCGACAGCGCGCCAGTGGGGACTGGCCCTGGACCACGTCGAAGAGGTTGAGGTCGTGTTAGCGAACTCCTCCATCGTGCGGGCCTCAAATACCCAAAACCAAGAGGTTTTCTTTGCTGTCAAAGGTGCTGCCGCCAGCTTTGGCATTGTAACCGAGTTCAAGGTCCGCACCCAGCCGGCACCTGGACTAGCCGTCCAGTATTCATATACCTTCAACCTCGGCAGCAGCGCCGAAAAAGCGCAATTCGTCAAGGACTGGCAGTCCTTCATCTCGGCCAAGAACCTTACCCGCCAGTTCTACACTAACATGGTCATATTCGACGGAAACATTATCTTGGAAGGTCTGTTCTTCGGCTCGAAAGAGCAGTACGAGGCCCTGGGACTGGAAGACCGTTTCGTGCCGAAGAACCCTGGGAATATCCTGGTACTCACGGACTGGCTCGGGATGGTTGGCCACGCGCTTGAAGATACCATCCTGCGGCTGGTCGGAAATACTCCAACCTGGTTTTATGCGAAATCGCTCGGGTTCACGCCTGACACGCTGATACCCTCCTCCGGGATCGACGAGTTCTTTGACTACATTGAAAACAACAAGGCCGGCACGTTGACTTGGTTCGTGACCCTGAGTCTGGAGGGCGGAGCGATCAACGATGTCCCTAAAGATGCTACCGCGTATGGGCACCGGGACGTGCTGTTCTGGGTTCAGATCTTCATGGCCAGTCCCACCGGCCCTGTTTCCTCGACTACATATGACTTTGCCGACGGTCTTTACAATGTCCTAACGAAGGCAGTGCCCGAGAGTGAGGGACACGCCTATCTCGGATGCCCAGACCCTAAAATGGCAGATGCGCAGCAGAAATACTGGCGACAGAATCTTCCCAGGCTAGAGGAGCTCAAAGCGACTCTTGATCCCAAGGACACTTTCCATAATCCCCAGGGTATTTTACCAGCCTGAGTTACGATCTGCTACCTGGTACTTTGTATGCTATTTAGCAATCACCTTCTCTGTACACAATTAGATATAATTGTCCATAAAACAGCCTTGGCTCCGTTACTTATGCAGCTCTTCTGCTACTACTATGTGTTTTTCTAAACCGAACGAGATGTTATTCACAACTAGAATGTGGAGTCTTATGGAATCGATACCGAAAAGAATCACTGAGACTGTCAACGGCCGCAGTTATACCCTGCAACTTCACCTCAAGTAGCTAACGGTATTTGCATCACAGATGGCAAGAAAGGACAAGATAAAAAACGCAGGAATCTACGTAAGATGCAGCTCCACAGTAGTTGTCCCCAGGAGCAAGAGTATGAATGCGTGTTGCGCATGAAACGCTAGAGACAAGTAAGCAAACCCTATCCCAGCGTAAACTCTCCCCAACCCAATTCTAAATCTCACAGCTTTTCCCAACGAATACCCCAGCATTAGTAACACCAATGATGATTCGAGGAGCATACAAAGCAATCACTATAAGTTTCACACAGCGCATGCGTATAACAACGAGGATGAGAACACGAGTGCTCATCGCTTCTCCCTAGTTGTCCCTCATGGCTCTGGAGGGTAACCTCCTGGAACTCTCCACTATATGAATCCGGGCGCGAGCGCTGCTCGTAGACTCTTCTCGCCGATCTCATCGAAACGTCGAGCTCTGCGCACAAGCCATCTGCTGCCACGGCCAGAACTTCGCCGTCGTGGTCGAGTAGGTAATAGCCGCCGTTGCGATCATCCAATGTCCCCATAGAGTAGGCGGCTGCCATGTCGTTGAGCTGCTGGCGGGTCTGCAGGATGAGGGTTCCTGCTGGTATGGGGACGCTGTATCTGGTTACGGTTGCGAGGGCCGTGACTACGAGCAGGAGAAAGAGCACGAGGGGACCAGAAAGGTGGGTTGGAGTCATTTTATGAGTCTGCTGGGTTGTGAGATGATGAGGAATTTGATTGCGGGCTGGAGGTGCCGCTTACGTGATTTTCGTCGATGCTAACGAATCCTTACCCTTGCTCGAGTCTTGATATACCAAGCTTTGTATGCCAAGATTGTACCGAGTCAAAATTGGAATGAAGCTATGGAAGAGAATAAGCAAGGCTGTAAGGTTTACGGTGGACATTAAATGACTTTCATGGAACAAAGATGGCGAGGCTGAGGCGTGTCTGGAGGCTAGAAAAGAGCCCGCTTATCTAGTTGGATGGGCGTTAATATAACGCCAGTCTCCAATAGGTCACAGACTAGCCAATAGGCAGGAAGAAACCCTACGCTATAAGACGCAGAATTTAATTTGACAGCTGTCGATGCTACCCTACATGTGGCCCATGGCCACAATCTCCCGCATGGCTCTAATCCGTGCAGTTTTGGATCCACAATGTAAACTTTAGTGCTTAGTGGAATTGGAACTGTGCTTACATACTTGCTTCGTAGAGTAAGTGCTTAGTTACTTAGACTAACCCGTTTTGCTCGTTCTAGGCTATCACCAGTTTACAGTTAGGGTTAATCTATAACCGCCATTCTACCCTAGAAAGCTTTTGTGTGCCAGAGAGGAGTGAGCAGCCTGTGGGAGAGATGATGGAGACGTTCCGCATGCTGGAATAGATCACTGAGATTCCTCTGGAGGGATTGCCGTACGAGGCATGGCTGGATCGCCTCAAAGCTCAGGAAGACGATGATCCCTTGCATCCCCTGCTTCCTATGTTAGAAGAGAAAGTGTACGATAACCGGTGCCGATGGGAGATGTACGAAAAGATGCCCATCTATGACACTGAGAACTTGAAACGGCACTTGCTGGCCCCATGCCCGCCACTAGATCGAGATACATTCAAGAAATTCCTGTTTAATTTGGGATTGATTTGAGTTTATTCAAAACGAGGTATACGGAATAGAGATGGAACATTGTTTAGATCGCTTCTTTTTTATGTAGGACACAGAGCCAACGGAGGGAAATTCATACACTCAAGACACAGATCATGGGTGTAGGGTCGGAGCCTCTAATTTCACATTAGCTATAAGTCTAAATAGAAGCGCATTCAGGTCAAAATGCTAATGGGGTGCTCAAGCCTCCATATCAACAAGCTCAAGATACTTATCTTTACCACTCTCCTTCTGCTAGCTGACTACTATCTAACATTTGCAGACTCCTTCCAAGCTCATGGTTATTACGACACAACTAGTAACAGATATAAATATCTATCTCTTATGCAAACCTCAGATACAAGGCAACAGCCAAAATACTAAATCTCATTGCCTGGGCGTAGACCAATAACGTATTAGGGCTAAATTTAAGACTTGATAAAACCCCACCAAAAGCGCCCTTAAACCCTGCAACATCTTCCCCCGTTTACACTGGCCATTATGAGTAACAATCGAGGGTATTTACCACGATGGGGTGAGCTGCCTGTCGAACAATATCTGATTGTACTTATCCCTCTAAAGAACATCCATTTATTTATTTTTCTAGACCGCTAATATTCCTACCAGAGACACTGGGACCATGCAATGACCGTGAGGGAGTCACCCGACCAACAGCGCATTCGACTCATCCGCCAATTCCTCGATCTGGATGAAATTCCCCAGGAATGGCTTCCCACCCATGAGGGTGGGCCATTGCCGCGCACGCCCACAGAAGAGGAGGTCAACGCCATTCTTCGTCCGTGGCGACCGGCTGATCTGCGCCGGAGAGCGTGGCACATGTACACGAATGTTACCGAGGAACCGATCTTCCTCCGAACACACTATAACCCGGAAGAAGACGAGAAGATGGAGCATTGGGCTTGCGTCTCCGAAGAATTTGCCGATCAGGCTTGGTGGGCGTGTTTGGATAACGTCCAACTCTATAACTTTGGGTCAGATTGGCAACGGGTGTATGAGATTTTGCCTGAAATTGCTGGACCATCGACCGGGGGATCTGTATCCCTAGAAACTCTATCGTCGATACGGTCATGTTTCAAGAAATGGCTCAGCGAGGCAAAACAAATTGAACCTGAGTTTTGGAAGAAGGATCCGCATCGTTTTATTGAGTCTAAGGCAGCTGGACTCCTCCACGCAGTGACATCAAGATATTTTCTTCTCGCAGATAAAGAGGCCTTTGAGACAGATGGACGTTTGCGCCTGGTGTACCTGGATAATCAGCGGAATATTGTCCGGGAGACACGGGTTGACGCTGATGAGCAGACAATTACTGATGTTATTATGGCCTGGTTTGAACTGACTGACCCTCCTGAGCTGGAGGATGGCATCACTGGCGATAGATACCGGGTTACTGGTGATTTGGGCAGAGAGTTATATCAACTGACAGAAGCTGATTTGGCAGATCCTTAGATTCAGGTTCTGATAGTTTTGCAGAGTTTCTATACAGCGAAATGTGGCTTCAATTTATATCTGTGGATGTGATCAGCCTGAGAAATCTGTCCGCGGTACTAATCTCACCGATGGCATGCATTTGGTATTGAACTTGTCAGAGATGCAGTGCAGTTAGACTCCCTCTTCCTTGGAACTGTGCATGAGGTCTGCTTTTATATTATTTACTGTAGTCCAGAAGAGCTTCACTCTGTTGGGTCGGCCCACTTCCAACAATCTCCTCGCCTTGTTTGACTGGAAATATGATCTCCGCAGACGGGTCTATTTACTACGAGTCATAGTAGATGTTTAGTTTTACCATCAAGTTCTTCATCTCTTTCATTGTCTTGCCCACTAGAACAACATCAATCTCATCCATCAATCATGACTCTACTTCCGAACACTGGCAATGTAGGCAGTCAGGTCTAGCACCCGACGACTGTATCCCCATTCGTTGTCATACCAGCTCACAAACTTGACGAAGTTCGAGTTCAGAGAGATACCAGCCTTGATGTCAACAATCGATGAATGAGGGTTTCCCTTCATGTCACTTGAGACAACGTCATCCTCGGTGTAATCGAGAATACCTACTCATTCTTAGCTATGATATCCAAACAGAACTATAGTCAGCTTACCCTTTAAATGTCCCTGTGCAGCTTCCTTTATCGCGGTAACAATCTCCTCATACGAAGCTCCTTTCTCCAGGCGACAGGTCAGGTCAACCACGGACACATTGGAGGTTGGCACCCTGATAGACATTCCGGTCACTTTACCCTGGAGCTCAGGGATCACCTTACCAACGGCCTTGGCCGCCCCTGTACTACTCGGGATCAGGTTCTCGGCGGCAGCACGGCCACCACGCCAGTCCTTCAGAGAAGGTGCATCGACTAGCTTTTGCGTGGCAGTGTAGGCATGAACCGCGGTCATCAGGCCTTCAATTACACCAAATCTATCATGTAGAACCTTGGTTAAAGGCGCCAAGCAGTTGGTAGTGCAGGAGGCATTCGACACCACGTCGGCCCCTACATAGGTCTTCTCATTCACCCCCATGACGTACATGGGTGCGTCGGCAGAAGGAGCAGAGATAATGACCTTCTTGGCGCCACCTTGAAGGTGAGCACTGGCCTTTTCCACTGTAGTGAACACGCCAGTTGACTCAATGATATATTCCGCCCCAGCATCCTTCCATGGAATTTTGGAAGGATCCTTTTCCGCATAGAACTTGACCTTCTTGCCGTCCACAATAAGGCAGTCGCCATCAACGTGGATATCATAAGCAAAGGTGCCGTGGGTAGAGTCGTACTTGAGCATGTATGCCTAAGCGCCCGAGTGATATCAGTGATCATGTCATTCGAACTCAGGCCATCCAAGGAACGTACTGCGTATTGGACCTCGATAAAAGGATCGTTCACCATCACCACTTCGGTGTTGTCATGAGAGAAGGAGTTGCGGAATACAATCCGACCGATACGGCCAAAGCCATTGATACCAACTTTCGCGGCCATTTTGTCTTCGGGTAATCTTGACTTACAATAGTAAGGGGGTGATTTGGGTAGAATTGATGAAGAATGACAAGAGATCAGCAGGTGACGAGGAGGAGACTAAATAGTAGCAAGGGCACCCTTTTAACCCCTCGTCGATATTCGATCACAAGCCCAGAACTTGCCACCGTCAGAACATGATTAGTATAGGCTGTATAGTCGGGCTTACCAAGAAGCCTTGCCGGTGTGCTCCGGGGGATATTGTACGTAGTCATCACTAGCCGGATGTGGACACCGGATCCAGGATACAGTGTTGTCAGTATCTTCGAATATACTTCGTACCCTAAGGCGGGATATCACTTGACTCACTACGTAAGACACCCGATTTTAGTGGCATCCACCAGTGCAAGGCTTCGCCTGAAAGAAGTGGGGGCCATGATACTTGTTCCTTAACCGGTGTCCTCTTTTCCTGCTTATTCTACCACACTCATCATCTACCGTCCGTTCTTCCAGGTTAACCAATCCACTTCAGCACCGATCGTCCGACTAGGTGATACCACACAATTCAGTATCATGGATACTACAACAGCAGTTGTTAGGATGCGAGTGCGAAAAGACCGGTCCCTTTAGACCCCGGTTAGCATGAGCCACAGAGATATTCTGCACAATGGAGTCATCTCCCCAGACCCTATGATGTTAAAGCCTTCACGATGGCTTAATCAGCAGCACCGTCTTTCGTACCTTTTGGAAAAGGAGCCCGTATGTGCATTGGAATGAAGTAAGTTAGATGCATAGCTCTTTACTTCTGTTGCTGATATATTTGGTTGTCAATAACTTCGTGAGGTTTACACGAGTCTTGCCGTCATTCTTGCTCGCTTTGTTTAGGAGCTATGTGACACCAGATGGGAAAGAGGCGTGTATGATATTTGTGACTGCTCCTAGGCGAACCAGACCCAGGCAGTCCTGGCATGTATGTCAAGGTTGTTGCTGACCACAAGACATTTAGTTGTCCTTGGAAATTACCAGTATAAAGCGAGAGAGACAGAAATAAGTACGGACAGCAGATTTTCGAAGCGAGATGGCATTTGCTCTATGATAATATGCTTTTGGCGTCTCCCAAAACTGTGGTCCATATCTTAAAAATCATACTGCAAGTACATCTCGTCAATTTCTCTCCAGGTTGAACTCAACAAAATGCCCTATCTAGAGCTACATCCATACCATACAAGTGTCCTCTGACCCACTTCTGCGAATCAAAGTTTCTTTGTTCCAACTTCTTGCCTAGGCTTCGTGGTGAATGTCTATATCAGGATTCGCATCAGCCGTGCCGTGTGTCTCTTGACTTGCATCGTAGCTGTTGTTATGGATCCGGCGCACATGATCTCTCATGTTGTCAATCCGGCTGAACATCCTCGAACACCGCTCGCCTCTCTCATTCAGACAAGGGCATTGAATCCTTGGGTCGTGCTTTGCCTCGTGCCGGGCACGGTCTTTTCTGGTCGCGAAGCCCCGCTTAGTGGGGGGATGACGGCCCTCTGGACCCGGCCCCGCCTGCGGACAATGTGGATAGCGGCAGAAATATCGTTTAAAGTGTTGTTTATAGTGCCGTTGAAGCTCCCGGGATCCGGTAAACTGCAGTGTCGACTTGCACCCAGGAAACGGGCACGTCACAGCATCGGGTCCCCGAACTTCAAGCTCGCCGCACTGCATCCATCGGGACTCCGGGTTGGCCCTTCTTGTCAAATCAGGTAAATGAGTAGTCGGGGCAACCCTTCCGGGATTCAAGTCAGCAGGCAGTTGTAGCTGACCTGGCAGGTTGTGAGGATTAACCTCACCGGAGTTGTCCCTCTCGCCGCATTGTATAGAAGGATCTATAGATAGCCGCCGAGTGCTTGCCATTGATAACACATCCCGTGATGATTCTGGAGAATCCTGGCGGTTAAAGAGCGGAAGAGCCATCCATGATTCAGCCATGTTTAGACACGGTAGCGATACGCTTGTACCGGCCTTGAGCTTCGTCCACTAGAAAGAGGAAAATGGTCTCGGGGGATCTGTTAACCGTACTAGCCCTAGCATACCACGACTATCACCTAAACGGCTAGGTGGCTGATCTACCCACTACCTCCTGGACAGTCAGCTGACCTACTCCAGAGTCGTATCTTGGTTCTTAAACCGATCAAACCCGTGGGACTAGCGTTCCTAGCGGGGGCTTAACAGAGACAACTATAAGCCCCAATACGACTCTCTAGATGCGCGCACTAACCTGACCTTGCAAATGGCAGACCAACTAAATTCAGCTTATCTTCCACAGGTATTTTAGTAGCCCGGATGACGGCTGCAACCCGCATCACATCCTACACCCTAGGTAACGCTATTTGGCCCTAGTATAATGGTCTTGGTTGAGCCGGGTTCAAGGATTAGGGTGGACAGGGTTCAAGGCGTCATCCCCAAGGCCGTGAACCCTGTTCAGCCAGACGTGTGATTTATCCATCCCCTCAATCCTGTACCGCGCCTAACCATGTCCCCGGATGATCAACATACTGTGTCTGGATTAAGTTTATCTCATCAAAACCGGTCTCAATGAGTGTGGCTAAGAAAATGCAGGAAAGGGAAATCAGCCTTCTGATGCATTATGTGGACGACGTGTTTCCTCATCAATTCCCTTTCTACCATAGCCAGTTTGTGGGGAAAAGAGAATGGCTCTTGCCCTTGCTGTCGTCAACAAGATCGGTCTATTACGCTACGCTGTGCCTCAGTCTACTGCACAAGGAGAAATGCTTCAATATGGACCAGCCAGAGTCGGTATCCTTTTGTCAAGAGGAGAGACTGCGATATTATATACTGGCGCTGCGAGAAACACAGCAGCTTTTACTGAAGTTGAGCCCAGTATATAACCTAGACACCATAAGATACTGTATTCCTTCCCTAGCAAGCGCTCTACATCTGATCAGTTATGAGGTAAACAGTCCTTCTCCGACAGGATACAGTGAATTATACGTTAACCTGTCTATCTTAGTCCTCCTATCCTGTATATGGAGATTGGAAAGTTCATCTGCAAGCTGCAACGTCACTGATCCCCATTCTCGTAGGGAGCTGGAACAGTATGATCAAACCGATCAAACACACTTCCTCCCTTTGGACAGGCCTAACTCTTTCTGATTTCCATGACCTCCACACAGAAGGGTCTCTCTCTTACGAAAATGCCAGTGCCTTCCGGTTTCTAACGAATGCACTGGCTGTAACTGGCATCCTGTCTTTCATTTCAACTGGCCCGACAGCTGCACTGTCCGACTACCGATATCTGATGGATTCCACATACGATATGGTTCAGTGTCACCAGTTCCTTGGTTGTGAGAACTGGGTGCTGTCGGCTATTCTAGACGTGGGCATGCTGGACCGGTGGAAAAGAGAGGAGGAAGAGAACCGACGCCTCAGCTTCAGGGAGTTAGCGAACCGGGCAAAGAGGGTCGAGGACAGCCTAGAAAATGGAATCAGAGCGTTATCAGCTAAAACGACCAGTTCTCCAGATGCAGTCATCTACATCACCCGGATTTATGCCAGTTCCACACTGACCTACCTGCATTCGGTAGTCTCAGGTCTCAACCCGGACCTAAGCGAGATACGGGACAGTGTCTCTCGAACCATTGAGCTCCTCAAAGAACTCTCAAACCGGCGTCTTCTCGCCAGTCTGACATGGCCCCTGTGTGTCACTGGATGCATGGCAGACCCAGATCAAGGTGCCTTTTTTCATAGTCTGGTTATCTCGGCGGAGATCAGTCCGCAATCATTGAGGCATACATGGACTGCTTTACAGATAATCAAGGATGTGTGGAAAGCCCGCAGCTCTTGGTGGGGACAGACATTGCCTAAATGGGAACAAATTCTTTGTATTGATGGATCTCCAATACTACTTATATAAAGAAGCTAAGCCAGACACACTCTAGTAGCCAATGCTGCTCTAGAAAGAATGCAGATAGCTCAGCTCGGCCAAGGTTTGCGAACTCCACCTGTCAACCACAATGACCATATGTAAACAGTTCTAACAACTTCCATTCTCCATTGCTAACTCCTAATGCATTCTGGCCCGTTTCATTTACTCTGGCATATTGTGAGGGATATACGGCAGCCCACCTTCGATGGCTTCCATGACGCGAGTGAACTCCTGATACGCATATTTCTGGCAATCATGGTCAAATATCCAGCTAAGGTCTGGAGGCGACTGATCGCCTTGTGCTTGTTGCGTTGCCTCCAGGTCTTGTCGAACCTGGAATTCCGAATCGAAATCCCTCGAGAGCTCCGTTTGAACGAGCGAGGCTCGTGGATACCTAGGTATAGCAAATCGATCAGCCAACCTCTTTCTGAATCCTTGAACTTGGACATTACAATACCTGATTCTCTCCGCAACAGCGAGCACTTGAGATACCTTCGACTTCCCAGCTAGCTCAAGAGCAATTGCGAGCGTTGCAGCATCTTCAATGGCTTGACTCCCTCCTTGCCCAGTAATGGGAATCATCGCATGGGCCGCATCGCCTATCAGCATGATTTTGCTTCCGGGAGAGAGCCAAGTCTTGAGCGGTTTTCGAATGACCAGTTTCTGATCAATGAAAGCACCTGGCAGTACGTGACAAATTCCAGCATCCAGCTGATGGTGGACTGGCCAGCCTTTGAGAAACGCTAAAACCTGAGTGGGATCCTGTACGCTCCCATGCCAGGAATCCATGCTAGTTTCCGTATCCTTCGACAGTCTTCGTGTTAGTTCATTGTGGTTTGCAAAGAGTTCATGATTGCATACCTTATGCTGGCAATAGATAAGAATGGCTTTCCCTCGACTGGGAGTTTCACTGTGCCCGCTCGCTGATAGTGACTCGCAGAGCGTCGTGACCACGACTTCACTGTACATCCACATGGATGCCGATGTCTTTCCCCAGCCCGAAGCCTTCGACCCTCTTCGTTGGGTGACGGGGAATCCCAAACAAATGGAAAATGCCATCGTCGCCTTCTCCAAGGGACGACGGATGTGCCCCGCCAGACAGTGCGTCGAGAATCCCAATTCATGTTTCTTCGTTCGTCTGATATCGACGCTCGTCTGCTAACTACATTCAACCCAGTTTGGCATATGTGGAAATGTTTTCTATCTTTGCCATGCTGTTTCGCAGATTCCAGATGTCTTCCTATGAGACCGAGTAGGTGTCTCTGAACCATTCTTTTCGGGACGAGAGTGTTATCTAATTTGCGCACAGCATCCACGATTTCGACTACAGCGAGTATCTTTCTCTCCATTTTCGGGGGAAGCCTCTGCGGGTCAAACTGCGAGAGAGACCTTCGTAAGATAGCGTACGTAGGTAAAAGCAAGCTAGCTTGGGGATAAGTCTCGAAGCAAGGTCATTTACACCAACTACGAGCAAAATAAGAATCGAAAGATGATCAATTCCTACGCTCTCTCCCCTGTACCGTAGATAATAGCCCCATAGCTATACTGTGTTGAATTCGGAATGAGCGTAAATAGGACATCCCCGGGAGGGTGTACAGAGGATGCGAATCCTGGCCGATGGGAAGAATGTCCGCAAATGATCCTTAAATCATGTTTCTTTGTTTCTCTGTTCGGCCTTCTCACTGTGGATTTACAAGGATCTGAAAACGGCTTGCGCTAATGCAGTGAGACATGTACGAATTGCCAACAGCAGAGATGGTTAGGGTTAGTCATGTGGATAGGACGCCTCAGAACCGTTTGGCGAGAAGCCACAGAGTATAATCCTTGTCAGACATGTTCGACATAGTACGGTTTTCGCGGTTTTCGCGCGTTTACTCTATACACAGAGTATTTCCTGAACAGGTCGATATTGATTTGAGAGTATACATGAACCAACACAGCCTTTGACTAACACTCCCTCACCGTCACCAAGATTCCCGGCGTGTCGCGCGCCTGCGCCCCCAGAATATAATCACGACTCACGTCAATGTCGCGCTCCCGTCGAACAGCGGAAACATCGAAATCAAACTGACGGAAGACTGCTGCGAGAATCAAAACGAGCTCTGCACGAGCCAGATTCACGCCCAGACAGGAGCGCGATCCCCGATTGAAGGGCACCAAGTATCGTTCCAGCCGCTTGCTGTCGGGTCCCAACCACCGCTCGGGCCGGAACGTGTGCGGTTCGGGGAAAATAGTCTCGTTGAGATGTGTGAGCATGGCGGTCATCCCCACGATCGTGTTGGGTGGGATGATGATTCTGCGGCACAGCAACTGGATGTCAGGAAATTGGCGGCTAATCCGGTGGGTGACCGGATCACACAAACGTAGTCCCTCCTGTATGACGGCTGTTAGGTAGGGCAGCTGCTCGAGTGTGGTCAGTGTGGGAAACTGCTGGGGATCTGGGATGTTGGCCACGAGTTCGTCATGCAGTCGCTGTCGCACAGACGGGTTGGCGGCAATATGATATGCCGTGCCACGCAACACATAGGCTCTATAGGGAGTTAGCCTGAGAAACTGCACTACAGTAGAGAGTTTCGGAGATGGAAAGGCTTACGTTGTCCCAGAGCCTGCGGTCACCAAGCTAAACGCTTCATCACGCAGTCGATCCCGCCGCAGCTCTACTGGGGGAAGTTTGCTGTCTAGAAGCTCATGGAAGACAGTGCGATGACTGGCATTCTTGTAGGTCGTATCCTCGCCGTTTCGAATAGCCTCCACCTGCCGAGACAAGTCCTGTACAGATAACTGTTAGCAACTGTATCTTATTGGACCCCTTTCCGATGGTCTTACCCGACGGAAATCTAGAATATCTGCCATGGCAGGAGCCAGGATCTTATTGACGCGGTCCTAGACAGTGAAGGTTTGTTAGGGTATACATTTCCATGACTCCAGAGCTGGGAATGCTTACCGGCAATGAATACGTGAAACGCATGGCCCACGGAATATGGATATTCAGCAGACTCACCTCCAAGAAGCTATCCACGTCGTCAAACCCCTTGCGGCCGAAATCTGGCTGGATCACATTCTGCGGCTCATGGGCAAAGCAGTAGGCATTGATGATATCTAAGGTGACGGCGGCGTAGAAATATTTCATATTCAACATGTCGCCGGTCTGCGCAGCTTGTTGCAGACGCTCGCGTAGAATATTAATGGGCTGCCACATCACCGGAACGAGGTCGTCGACAGATTTCTTGGAAAAGAAGGGGTTCAGAGCGCTGCGTCGCAGGCGATGCAAGTTATGCGACTGGGTCCCAATCGTCTGTCCTTCTTAATTATACTGTTCTTCTCCATAATTTCTCTTGGGGGTTTGTCACGACAGGGAGGCATACTGCTGGATATGGCCCAAAGGCCTCGGCGACGCGCAAGGGCTTCACAGCACGGCCATTAATCTGGTTGAAGAGCTTGTCGAAGTAATCGGGGTCATTGATGTGAAGCTCGTCCGGGTTGATGCGAATGACGGGGCCTGTCGCCGAAAGATTAGGCTGCGTCTGTCCATCAGGATGTGGAATCCCTACCATATTTTTCATGCAGATCCTTGAGTTGGAAGGTGAACTGGCCACCCTGGTAAAGGTCATAGTACCATTCATAGAGATAGGTCACCTTGGCCAACGGAGGGCCGGGGATGTGCGCCAGCGGGTGGAAATAGACACGGTAGGCGACGAGGGAGATTAGGGCTACCAGCGCCAGGGATAGTAACAGGAGGACAGCCATGGTGTCCTGTTGTCAGCTCATCCAGTTCCTGAGGGGGTGGGTTGGACACACGGCCTTTATCTAGAGTACTAATCAAGCCAGACCAGGCAGTAGAATTAAATTAAGACTCCTTCCTTGTTTGAATCGTGGAAGGTAGGGTGTGGCGTCGGTGTCCTTTCTCTTCCCAATGGTTGTCTTCTTTTGTTAGTCATAGACTCATATCGCAACCCCCGCACAGAGATCGGAATTGATTAGCGGGGAGGGGGAGGGAACAAAGAAGAGCTCCAAATGCGTCGGGATTCTAGTCTGTCAGCCAAGAGGTAGTAGTCGTTAGGCCCTGCATTAGGGAACAGGGATTCCTCCCGCTGACGGGCCACAATGCTAAGGTGCCCAATAGGCAAATTCTCTTTGCACAAGGCGCTCAGGATGGAGAGAAAGAGAATTCGTCTGAAACGAATGCTCTCATTTCCGGCGGTCTCCTCGTTGACTAGAGGAATTACTAGCACGGAGTACTATGACGACTACTGCTGGTTCGTTCTAGATGACCAGGAAAGGGCACCCTTCAAATTGACAGTATGCTAACTACTACAAGCTAGATCGGCCCTCTTGATGGAAGGTCGGTACTTTATAGCCATGGGTCTTGGACCACATCCACTGCTGCGCCTGTTGCACCGTGAACGGCACCAGATCCTCTACCACCAGCGGTTCCGCCGTCAGACCTCGCGCCCGGATGAACTGAGCACTCGAGAGCGGTCGCTCCCCACGCCCAAATCGCACGATCGACTGAGCCCATTCCGCCAGGATCTGCTTTGTCTGCGGGGCCATCCGGAACACGAAGAAGAAAGTGTGGGGCATGTTCTCGTACTCCTGGAGAGTGATAGATCCGCCTGCGCGATGCACCTCCCGGGCCACCAATCGTGATGCGTCAACGATCTGCTCCTGACCTGACCCCAGCCAAAGGGGACAGGCACCGGTCCAGTCGTCCGCAGCTGCGGGGCTCGCTATTGGATGCGCCAGCATGCCTGCCTCGCAGTAGAGGTTGGCACGGGGTGGACGTGTAGGCCAGGCCGGACAGGTCGGGAACGTCTTTTCCAGGTAGGGCAGCTTCTCGATCGGGGTGGGGAAGATGTCACAGTAAGCATTGCGCTCGAACGAGGGGAAGGCATTGGTGAGGTCAGCCGTAGGACTGAGGAGGGACATCCCGGCCGGCACAACGGGTGCCTGTTTCGCTCCATGGAAAGTGATTGTAGCATCCCGACGCTGTAATCAAAGCAGGACCTGGAGGAGTCCTAGGGCTAGACAGGAGCCGGAGCTATCACCGGCGACCACAATCGAAGAGGCCGGCACAGCTTTGTGTGGACTGCCCCCAGGGGGGCTCAGCAAGGCCAGGTAGGCTTGGAAGGCGTCCAGGAGGGCAGCTGGAAAGGGATTCTGAGGAGCTAGTCGTTGTCGCACGAGCAGGACCCTGGCTCCTGTGGCCTGTGCCAGTGAGGCGGCATGTTTGCGATAGCTAGATGGGGAGTTTAATCTAGTGGAATGGGTTGATAATCATCAGGACCGCTGCACTGATACATTAATCATAGACAATGGAAGCACAAACACAAAGGTACCCCCGTAGAGGTAGAGTATAGTCAAGGGGCTCTTGGTCTCCGCCATCAACTTCTCAAACTTCTCCTGTTCCCCAATCGCGGGCTCCGGCGTGTCCTTCTGGACATTGCTACGGTATCCCACCCATTCAAAGTCCAGCGGAGCCGACTCCGGGCGATCGTAGCGTACCTGGTGCTCGTTTGCCTCGTCTATCAGCTGTAGGAGAAGCTCGCGCGAGTTATCGTCATTTGGACTGGGGAGGGAGAATTTGCTGACCCAGAGAGGGCCATTGACAGGATCGTTGCGGCAGGTGGCCTTTTGCTGGACGGAGATAGAGGTGGTATGGGCACCCTTGAGGTATTCTGCGCGTACCTTCTGGGCGGCGGCCACCAGATGTTGGGCGTTCTGGAAGTCCATCACAGTTCAGTAGACGCGATTTATAAAAGGATATGGTCGGAGAAGAGATTAAGGACATGGTCAATTGACACTGTCCGTGGCTCTATCAACGCTTTATGAAGGAAAGGAGAGCGAGATAGAGTGCGGTGAAGAATTCACATGGAAATAGCGACATACTCGATGAATCGCCCATCCTCGGATGTTGAAGTGGAGGTGGAGGACAGTTGGAGGGTAAGTAAGGCTGGGCGATCAGGGATCAGTCTTTGTGGATTCAATCCCTGTCTGGTGGCTGCATCAATCCCCAACTACACAGGGGCAAGCATTGGTCAGTGTCAGTACACCCACAAAACAGTAACAGGAGACAAAGAAACAGAGTGAGGCAGTGAAACACACTCGGTACAAGTATGACCAATGACACAGGATCACTGTGGGCCTTCTGTAACATGACCACGGAAGTGACAAAAGGCCTGAGAAGGGGATGGATGAGAACGTTTTCCGGAAAGCTTTGGCCCTATTCGATTCTTTGGTTCAAATACCTCGCAGCTCATGCCAAGCATAAAGCCACCAAGACAGGTACACCAGTTCATCTCCATGATTGATGTGCCACCGATCCCTAAAAACCGTGCATCAGACTTCTCGAACCCCACCAGCAAATAACTGATTCGAAGGTGCTGCATTCTTATCTCGCATCTTAGCCGCTGTCTCAGCGCCTGCCGCAGGAACTCGAAATTCGAAGGCTCGACCCGGGGCTGGTCCCTTCCCATCTGGAAATAAATATGGGTAAGGTAAATATTCCGGTATTAAGCCCAGCTGACGCAGCACGGTAGCTTGGTCCCACGCTATGTGTTCGTCGTAGAGACGGTCTCCTTGGATATTGACAGCCGCCACAAAAGGGATCTCAAGATAGAGGCCGGTTGGAGGGATTCCAGGGATCCTACGAAGATGAGTAAGATGAACAACGTAGTCCAGAGACGGTGAGAAGCCCTACAGCCAGTCAATCTCCGAGTCATGGGTCAGGGTCATAATGAACTCGTCCACGACACGGTCGATGCCTATGGTCCAGCTTATGAGATGGTTGTTGGTGCCGTGTGGGTTACTGAAGATAAAGTGGCCACGGTAAAATCGAGTGAGTTGGTCACGGCCAATTCCCCCGGTCATCTTGGAGATGTCAGCTGGCAGATTGCCGAATCGCCGACCAAAGGTCGTATGGTACTCACCGTGGGAATGTGACTAAAATAAGGCTCTTGTACCATTGTGTTCATAGCATGCTCAACAGATTGGTTGTCGAGTTCAAAGTAAGTATGTTCTTCCCAGATGGCCTCCAGATCGAAGTAGGGACCATTCATATGCCTCTTCAGGAAGGACAAGGTCCGCGTGTGAGAGACTGCTTCTGTAGCATAATCAAATTCGGCGGAAGTGGGAGGGGCAAACAAATCGGTCTGAATCATCGGATAGTTATGTTGCATTATATTGGCCGTTCTCTGCAGTGACACATTTGTAGGCCCATGAAGATGTTGCACGGTGGGTATAATGCTCGATGTCAATTTAGCAGCATCAGCTGCTACCGGATAGATGGCGGCTGCGGGTACCTTGTTGATACCGGGAATAGATTGTACCTTCTCCCATAACTGATGGCCATATGCTGTGTCTCGATATCAGCCAGGTCGTGCTAAATTGAATCGAAGAATGAAGCAATCTTACCTACGAGACCGATAGTATGCTTTGGAGAGCAATTCTCGTGCCGAGTCACTGCCTCAATTGCCTGGTTTATTATATAACCGTGATCCAGCGCAGATTTCCGGATTTCGATAACGGTGTAGCCCTTCTCAGCCTATTTCAATGACGGCATAGGAACTCCGTCATCCAAAAGTAGTTGGCTTGGGGCGCGTCGGAAAGGACGACGATCATTCCAAGCCCTATGCCCCTGCGAGAGAGAGGAAGCAGGACAACGCCCGACTTGATCTCGTGGATCTTTGGGGTGGGCAATGCTTTCAGCGGAATATCAACCCGGGCCATGGTACCTGACTTGAAAGACGTAGATTTTGCATGCAATGCCGAATATGTCAATATCTGCTTACTTGCCAAAGGGCTCTCCCCAATCCCGTTAAATAGACATGCCATAACTTCCTCCACTCACCCAGGTCAATTGTACTCTCCGCATGTTTAGAAATATCCTTGCAGGCCAATGCGCGGGGTTGGTTTCGACTATGATAATTCAGGCAGCACCTATATGAGCCTTCAGGGCTCGGAGAGCCGAGTGCTTTCGGCGTCAATGAACTCGTAACTATCATTCGCCGCAAATAGTGCGCTGACAGATATTCTCTTCAACCTCAACATAGGCTATTCTTCTCCATAAACAATGAGGTCCTAACTCTCGGGTCAACTGCATCAGCTTCGGAAGTCCGACCATGATAGGGATAGCGCCATCTCGGTCTAATATTTGTAGTATTGTCCGACTTGATTTGCTTGACTCTTCTATCCTCTTAGCTGGCAGCACTAGACGTCATTAGCATGATAATGGACTTCTATACTCTCCGGTAACCCTATACTAGGTACTATACTTGACCTTCCCCCTTTAGGTAAAAACAGCCCTGCCCGTCTACTTATCTGGTTATCTCGCCCAAATATGGTTAGTGTATGGCTTGAGTACGGGAGCGGGCGGGAAGTCCAGAGTTCCACATCCTTTGGTCGAAGATGTATAAGGATACCGGGGCTCATATCACAGTAGCACGTATGACGACTGAGGAGAGGCGTCTACATGAAGTTGACACATCACCTCGAAGGCCATGGAGTGAAGACTAAAGTAGTGCTCACTCCATAAGTGATCTTCTCGTCTTATGAAATTCTAGTCACGTGAGATTGGCCTTTTTCAAAAGCCGACTTGTATGCCAACTATCTATGAGAGGCGAAGAGCGCACAATACTCGCAAAATGGTTGGTTGGCAATCATTGGACCCCGGCAGGGATAGCTCGACAGAAACAGAGTCGCAGACCGGCAAGGTTCCTCTTAAACTAGCACAGCCATGCGAACAGAGCAATCGAGCGCTTATACAATCTGACAACGAGAAACTGGTCATCTCAGCTCTCGGATTGCTGAATTGGTAGCAGCGGAGTCTGATGTATGCTTCATACTAATATGATTTGGTTTGTATTGACGAGTTGTTCACATTCTTAGGTAACGAAGGATTATTGTCGTTCCGCTTTATAACACACGCTGCAGGAAAATCTCTAGCCATTAGTATTCAAATAATGGAAACTCCAGATTCTCGTATCATTTCTCCAGGTACACAGCCGATAATCAATGGGCAATTTGAGCATTCCCATTTGAATGTGTAACCGACGTCATGATCTATAACGATGTAGTAAGTTAGCAGGAATAGTCCACTTGGTAAATACTGGAGTGGTGATAAAAAGACATACAAAGTCCCACCACGGCGAAAGTAAATCAACCCCCAACACATATATGAAAGTGAGGAAGTGTTGCTGCGTTCCATGTGTTGTCATTGAGGCAAAAGTGACGACTACTTGAAATCCTGAAGCAGTTTAGCGCGTGATCCGAGATGCAGGTGATCCCGAAGTAATTGATCTTATCGGCGCGATATCGAACGGGGCGGAGTCCCTCTTCTTCTTCTCCAGCTACTGTTACTTACTTACCAGGGTCACGCCCCTCTCTTTGCTTTTATCTTTCCTCCCCTCGCTCTCCCTTCTTCGCCCTACTTTCGACGGGGCCTGACAAGCATTTATGTGGAGCGCGCAATAAAGTGCTTTCACGGGTCTCTCACTACCGTATTTCCCACCTTTCGGCTCATCATAACCTTCCAAGTCTATGTTGCAGCCTCTCGCCCGGTCGCGATTTCTTCGACCGCCGTTAGCGCCAACGAGTCACTTCGCCCCGACCTTTGGTCGTTTTTGTTTGCACTGCGCGACCACGATCGAACTCGCAGGCCTTTGTCGGATACCTGCATAAGGGGCTTGCATCATGGCATCTAACGCCGCCATGCTGTTGGACCCACGGGCCCACAGAAGGAAGCTACAAAGCGATGGTAACGACCCCGAATTTGCTTCTCTTTCGTCATATAGTCACAGCGACGCGGGTTTGGAGGCCGCATATGAGCGACTTTACTTTCCCTCAACGTCCAGAGACTGCCCCTCTCCTCCTCAGGACCCCATATTTATGAACCCTAATCTTGTCGATACCGAAAGCTCATTTATCCACGAGGCAGGCTCCCAGAATTCAGGCTACTCGGATTCTTCCGCTGCGCCGGCAGGTACGGCTTCTGCGGCACATCGTCTTCTCAACCCGCAACGTCTACAGTCTTCTAATAGAGGTAGCCCGAAGTCGAGATCACGACCACAGTCAGTTTCCTCACGCGGTGGGGATAGTGCGAGGGCATCACCACAACGTAGCGATACGCGTGGACCCGATGTGGATGTGGTATTTACAACCGCGCAGGAGGAGCTTAGTGATGGGAAGCGGAATTCCGATCATGTCGATGAAGTGCGCCATGGGAATCTCATCGAGAATATGTACGGCGTTGAAAGACGACTAAACCAGCCATACAAGAAGATAAAGACGGAGAAAGACCTGGCCCAGAGCGGGAAAAAGGCGATATTTACGTCGACTGGGGCCAGCGGGTTGGGTGAATGGGTGAAGGATGGTGAAGAGAAGTCGAATTCGTCCACACCGATCACCCCAAATGTTGTTGACTTAACGATTGGTGAGAAAAAGACGGGTTTTTCGAATAAAAATTTTATTGCTAATTGCTGTTGTAGATTCCTCTGCTGCAGCAACTGACGATGATGATCTACAAGTCACGGGTTCAAATAATCTCAGCATCCAGAGAGTATGTTATGGCAAGCTAGAAAACGCAATGGTGCAAGCAGTGCTGGTACCAAAGCCTCCAGCTGCAGCTCAAACCGTTTTTGGGGACTCGGCGCATGATTGGCCCTCAATCAAATTAGGAGTACACCGATCAACAAATCAAGGCAATAATCGGATTGAGGTTTCAGACCCCGATGGAAAAATATTTGGGGCAATAGATCCAAAGACCGCTGCAGTGATTGCTCCTCTTCTCGATTCGCCTGCTTTGAAAGTCGACGTTACCGCTCGGTTGGATGTTCGAAGGAGGCTGGCAAACGAATATCCGTGGGCACCTTGCTCAGCTCTGTATCGAGCGTCTATCAACCTGTACGGCCTTCGGAAGGATGCTGAACTAGTCGGGAAGCACCTTGGTCAGAATAATGTCTGGCTTGGTACCCCGTTTTCAGTAGAGCAAGGTGTCCCTGTGTTCAACCCACACGCTGAGAGAAGGCGCGCCCAAGCCGCCGCGTCTTTCTTACCAAATGTGGCTGCGAGGGGCCGATCAACCGTCAACTACGAAGTCCGCACTGCAGAAGAGGTGAACGATGCAGTGATGAAGATGTTCGATCAACTTCAGAGCGCCGAAAATATACCCGAGTTGGAACCTCCTTCGCTTTTGTCAACCCCGTTGCTCCGCCACCAAAAGCAGGCGCTTTGGTTCATGACTGAAAAGGAAAAGCCGCGCAAGTTTGGGCCTAGAGAGGAAGATAATAATTCACTTTGGAGGTTGGAGCATCGTTCAAATGGGGCAAGCCGGTATCGCGAGGTTATTAGTGGCATTGTACGCGATGACGAACCTCCACAGAGCCTAGGTGGCCTTTTAGCAGATATGATGGGTCTCGGGAAGACTTTGAGCGTTCTGTCTCTTGTCGTATCCTCTTTGGCAGAAGCTCACGAGTGGGCAAATATGGCACCAAATTCAGACCTTATTCGAAACCTGCCGGGCATCCGCAACACCAAAACGACACTTCTAGTAGCTCCGTTGAGTGCTGTTAACAATTGGACATTCCAGGTCAAGGAGCATCTGAAAGAAAACGCCATATCTTATCACGTATTTCACGGGCAATCGCGAATCACTGATGTGGATGAGCTGTCTAAATATGACCTGGTCATCACGACATACAGCATTATTCTCAGCGAGCTCTCTGGAAGGGGTTCGAAACGAAATGGGAACCCTGGGAGCCCGTTAACCAAGATGAATATGTTTCGAATTGTTCTGGACGAAGCGCATACTATCCGAGAACAGAGTGCAGCACAGACACAGGCTATTTTCAAGCTGAACTCCCAGCGTAAGTGGTCTGTAACTGGTACACCTATTCAAAACCGACTAGAGGACCTTTTCTCGGTGACCAAGTTCCTTGGTCTGAATCCCTACGATGACAGAGGGCAGTTCGGGATGCACATTCTGAGTCGATTTAAGACCGGGGATGCCACGGTCCTAGCAAGCTTGCGAGTGCTTGTAGACTCATTTACACTACGCCGTGTCAAGGACAAGATCGACATCCCTACCCGGCACGACAAGATCATAACGCTTAATTTCTCTGAGAAGGAGAGGCAGCTGCATGAATTCTTCCGACGAGAGTCAAACGTGATGATGAAAGTAATTGCCGGCGAGGATAAGACAGCACTGAAAGGTCGGATGTATCATCATATCCTAAAGGCAATGGTAATTTTACGCCAAGTCAGTGCCCATGGCAAAGAGCTTCTCGACAGTAATGATCGCGCAAGGATTAAGGGGCTGAGCGTCCATGACGCCATCGACCTCGAAGAAGGCGGGAATGATACACCAGAACTGGTAGATAAGAAAGCGTACGAGATGTTTACCTTAATGCAAGAGTCCTCGGCAGATATGTGTGCCCTGTGTGGCAAACGCCTTGAGGACCCAAATACTGATTCTGGTACCACCGACCGTCAAGTACCAATGGCGATCATACTTCCTTGCTTTGATGTACTTTGCCCCGAGTGTTTCTCTGGCTGTAAACAAGCGTTTGACAGTCAAACCGGGCCATCAGTTCATGACATCAAATGCCAGGTCTGCGATGGATGGATCCCTGTTTCATATTCCACCATCACCCCTGGAGGGCTACAGGACTATATGATGGGCCAGGCCCAGGCCAAGCAGAGCAAAAAGCAAGCAAAGACCCTAGGAGAGTACGAAGGCCCGCACACGAAAACCAAGGCGCTGGTGGCGTATCTATTGGAGACGGCGGATGAGAGCAAGGGCTTAGGGGACGAACATCCTATCAAAAGTGTGGTGTTTTCTGCATGGACGTCGCATTTGGACTTGATCGAGATTGCGCTAAAAGACAACGGCATCACAGGCTTTACCCGCCTGGACGGGACGATGACCCTATCCGCCCGCCAAAAGGCCCTTCAGGAGTTTCACGACAATAACAACATCACTATCCTCCTAGCGACTATCGGGGCTGGTGGCGTCGGTCTCAACTTGACCGCTGCATCTCGAGTCTATATCATGGAACCGCAATACAACCCCGCAGCCGTGGCACAAGCGGTTGATCGAGTGCATCGAATCGGGCAGATGCGCGAAGTGACTACAGTACAGTTCCTAATGAAGGATAGTATCGAAGAGAAGATCTTCGAGCTGGCCAAGAAGAAGCAGCAGTTGGCCGATATGAGCATGAACCAGAGGAAGCTTGATAAGAGAGAGGTGCAAGAGCAACGGATGCGTGAATATCGAAGTTTATTCAAGTGATACTAATACCCTTTTTACGATTCCCCTTTTTACTCCCGTCATTTGTTTTCCTTTTCGTTTCTCCTACCTGCTTCCACCATAGAGACGGACACTGCAATTGATACAAACATGGATAATACCTGATACCCAATGGTTTACACTCGGCGTTAATATATCCCCTGTGGTTTCACATTTGCTCTTGCTGGCGCTTACTAGGAACACAGAAGACTTATACGGCATTGATAATACACCGATAAATGCAATATAAAGACTTGGTTCTTTCCAGAAAGTGTTTCCTGTACTAAAATATAGACACCAGGGTCAGAATTGTCTTGCGATCGTATGGAATTCGAGTTTTATGTCGCTAGTAACACATCATTTAACTAGCACATAGCGCTTGGGTATTAGAGATGGTATGTCTTTCACACCTAATAGCGAGAAATACGATTGGCAATGAGCAGAAAGCGCTAGTAGGTCAAATAAAAGAGAGGGATAAACCAACAACGCGGCTGTAGGGTGGCAAACATCCAAGCTACGCAAGTCGAAGGCTGCTAGGCATAGACCAGAGCCGACCAAGAAAGAGTAAAAGAAGAAAAAGAAATCAGTGCGTCAACGGCAGACGGCGCGAAGAACGAGAAAAAGGCAAAAAGATATGACAAGGACGGGATTCGAACCCGCGAAGTTTCCCACTGGTGATTGGTGAAGACCTAAAACCAGCGCCATAACCACTCGGCCACCTTGCCTTGCTTGATGATGATTGCTTTAACTAATTGACCTAATACTAAAATAAAATTAATTCTAAACCATTTGATTTTAACCCTAAGTCATTCGTTTCCAACCACTGTCAACACGTCTCAACGTTCACTATATATACTAATTTCATTCCTCACTTGTTATGCATTAGTAATATAGCCTATGTTACTCGTGGCACCACTTCTAAATGTATAGGGGGACTCCCGGCCGAGTTTGATTTCTTGAAGCTTCTCCGCGTTGTGAATATATATACTTGTCAGGTTGGGTCCAATTCCAGCATGCTCAATATAGTTTATGCTTGGAACAGCTGAGAAATGATAATGGTAGTGGAGGGTAGTCGATATGATGGCATACAGGCAACACTACATGCGCTATTTCTAGAGCAATAGTGTAGTGGAGAAAGGAGTTCTGATTCATTTCTCCCTGTGGGCTCAGCTATGTTGAACTACCACATAAAGCCGCTCCGGCCATTTATTTTACAAAATTAAATATTTTAATCGTAACACCAAATGAAACATTCATCTTCTCCCTGTCTACAATAACAATAACACAGATGCGTCTTTATAGGGGTTTATAATAGAAATATAGCAATGTGAGATGTCCTCTGCACACGAATGGAGGTTGACCGATTGATCGCCCCCAAGAATGTTTCCAAGCCGTGTCCTATGGTATACTTATAGTACAGCTCCTATGACATACTTGGACTACAGGGAGGTCATTCTAGGCTCAGAAGATGGAGTAAATGGGTGATATGAGCCCCCAGGCCGGCCATGAACCTTTGCTCTTTCCCCTCGAGTCTTACGAACCGTCAGAACCTAGGTAGTTGTTTTGTTATCTGTCTACATGTAAGTTGATGGTGACAGCTAAGAGGCTGTATTACAACAGTGGCCGAGGAGATCAAAGCAAGTTCTGGTAGTAGGATTTTCATTCTACCCTTATCCAAGAGGAGGCAAACAACACAGACATAACCAAAGTCCCTGAGGTCGACAGAAGAAATCTCCGAGACCCATGAAGGTTCAAATCCAATTGAGGGGCTCTGCCTGCTCATCATCTTCGCGCTTGATCCAGTTTAGAGGCTCAGCATCCTCGGGTTTATCACGTCTAATCCAATTAAGTGGCTCGGCCTGGTCATCATCCCCACGCTTAATCCAATTTAGGGGCTCAACCTGCTCAGTATCATCACGTTTTATCCAATTGAGCGGTCTTGGATCGTTGGAATAATCATCACCGGACTTGATTGCTGTACCGTACAGATTAATTAGCATGGCCCGATAGCTATCTCTCTAGGGTCTAACATACCAGGATATGGGGATGCAGCCGAAGTTGGTGCAGCAATAGACGAAGCTGCAAAAAGAGCAAGGATGGAGAGGCGATACATGGCCTTCATAGTTGCCCGGGTGGCTCGTATGGTACGCACAAGGTTAAGTGTGTGTATGGAAACGTTAAGAGAAATAGTTATTGCTCTCCCTGTCTGCTACAATCGAGGGTGAGGCCCCAACTGCTATATATTGCACACGAACGAGTCTTTGACCCCTCATTCTTGTGAATTTGTCATTTTTTTTTCTTTTTTGATGGGAATCACCTCATCCGGTATGTGCGAACAAAGGTGTGCGCTGGGTGAGTGAGTTACTCGTCAGCTGCAAAGTCTTGAGGTCCTTGTCCCTGAGATAGTAATAACAATCTATTAATTCTACATAGAAGTAGAGTCATTCCCCTGTTATCTTCTTAGGTCTCCATGCTATGACAACAGGAATTAAGAGCGGAGCCAATCCCAACGACTCTTGTGATTCCCATGATGCTCGAAGGAGAGGTATGTTGCATCGCATCCGTCTGCAAGATGAAGTAGTGCCTTGATTTGTAACTTGGAGTGACTGGAAAAGAGTGACTAATAGTACCAAGGCCCTGTCAGGGAGAATCCTTGTCAAGAATCGGACTCAGCATTGGGAAGCAAACAGCGAACGCGGGGGCGGGGAGAGAATTGGGGCAGAGTTCTTCCGGGCATTGGAACAAACAGATGCCATGGCCAATAGAAACCTTACCACATCATTCTTCGGATGTCGCAACGCATATTGATGCATGTATATCCTGGGTTGTATGGATGTAGGCTCGGGCACTCAGTACGGCTCAGACGGATCTACGACCATCTCTAGCCTGTGGTAAACTTTGGACTAGTTGATCATCGATGGCCCTAATGCTGGTAATTTAGTTGCCAATCCCCTTTAGACCCCAATCCCCACATCAGGAGGACCATATTGGCATATCGTACCTTGTAGATATTAGACCCCCGCAATGTCCCGGTTGGAAAATCCCCACTTGGGGCGGGGAAGAGGATCTTGTTTGCTATATCAGCCCCAATGTTTTGAGTATATTCTAGGTAAAAGTCTAGTCGCTATTACACAGCAGTAGTTCTGCCGGGATGTAGTCACATAATTTTAATAAATGGATTTCGACCATAGGCGTTGTCAGCCGTCGTGCTTACAGTCGGCTTTGCTAGCAGATAGAAAGTGCGTGTTCATACAGTCATGTCCGTACCGGTAGATTCTTCTATATCCCTCTCTACCAATCAATCACCCCATCTTCAATCCCATCTGTCCAGGTTGGAGTGCTTGACCGTATAGTCCCAGATCGCATCAAAACTACGACATTGATGGGTGGTATTCCACCCAATAAAAATCAACTGGCCATTAAAATCCGTTGGGACTTCGATGGTTGTGTCCCCGTAACACTGCAAGGCATGTCTGACATAGTTAAAGCAATGCTCAATATGCCACAACCCATGGCCATTGGGGATAAAACTGGGATCGGTCGTATCCCCGTCCAGAGCTTCCAAGGTTTCCAGGTCAAGCCTACCCTCCATCAACTGCCAAAATGTATGGCGGATGGCACCCTAGCATGTAGTCAACGTCAAAGCCACTCTCACGCGGAATGATGATCAGCACCACTCACCAGGCAATGGAGCTGATGGAACATGCTAATGCCGTACATCATTTCTCCGCGGATGACCCCTCCAGGTGGCAGCTTCAGCTCCTCCCAGTTGGGGATGTAAATAAAGCCAGGGTTTTCGTGATTTGCTGCAATCCTTGTATCGGTTATTTGAATCGTACTAGAGAATAGAGGCATCTTACGTCCCGCTAGTGCCTCCCAGGCAGCGTTGCTTCGGGGGCTTGAGCGCTCCGTAAAAATTTCCGATGGACCGAACTTCTTCGTTTCCAAGGGCACTGGCGTAGTTAGCGCGGAAGAAAGTGAGGAAAAGCAACAACCATACTTAGGGGGATCGGGTTTCCGTATGGCAGACTGACACTAACGGTGTTCCGTCGCAAAATGGTGTAATGCCTGGTGAAAGCGACTAAGAGGGAGGATATTGCAAAAATGAAGGAGATGAACAGGATGGTGTAGAGGATAAACCAGTGTTTACGGTGCGTCGAACGCGGTCTCGTCATACCATCTTCAGACAAGAGGTTCGCCTTATCCTGGGCAGCATTTTCTTCTGAATGCACCGCTGCATAGTAGATGTTTTTCTTTTGAGAAGGTTGCGCCCACCTCAAGAGTTTTTGATATCCTGGCATTTTTGCAAAGAAGAAGCTTAGGCCTGACAGAGACAAACAATTTCGAGACAGATTTCTCTGAGGGCAAGGCAGGTTCAGCTTGGCCGGACACAGAGAAGCTACACTCTTATTTAGCCCGCAGGGAAATTGGATGCATACTGTCAGCTGGAATAACCGGGAGGACAATGGGCACAGCGGGTGGGTGGTATGAGTGCTGCATCAGGCCCAATTTGTCACGCTGCTCGGTCTATCTTGGATTTTCCAGCAGTCTCTAACGGAAATGTCCGAAGTTACATGATAGCAGATCCCGGTAGACAGTGCGCGATTTTCCCCACTCGTGATGTTGTGATGCAGAAGCCTCCAAGCCCTAGGTTATTAATTGCTCCTTTACGGGGATTTCTCGAATCCCTTCACCTCAAACTTCCAAAAAATGTCTATCGTTGCACCCCATTCACAGAGACTTTCATCTTCACCCTCTGTGAATGAGGAGAAATATGAGCTAAACTCGGGAAACACCATAGCCGATGATTATGTTGATCCGCCTGTTTTCGACCAAGGTAGACGCCGCGCGTTCTGTCGTCAGTACGTGATTATCGTAATATGCCTCCTGTTGACCCTTGGAGGCCTCCTGCTTACCGTCGTGTCCGCTTCTTCAACCGTATATTCCACTTCAACTATCATGTCCTGGGAATCGTTTGCTTCGTCTTCACCGGAGTCACCACACTCTTCTTCCCACCACCGCCACCATGGCACATCACCAAATACATACAACCTATCATCTCCGGTGATGGAAGGAATCATGAAGTCGCCCTGTGGCCATACCGCTACTGAAGCTAGAGCGCGAGGCTGCCACTTTGACATCATCACTTTTTGCTGGCTACCAGACCGCTGCTACGATGCGGAACTATCGGACTCCTTCGAGAAGTTGGTCGACTGGAAATGGTACCTTGACCGGAACAAGACACAGCCAGTCCCTAAGGAAGAAGCCCTGCAGGGGGAATTGGATGGACTGTATGTAAGTTGGGAGTACCATGTGCAGCACTGTGTGTATATGTGGGAGAAGATGCACCGAGCGCTATTGGGAGCGGGAAAACCGGCAATCGACACGTATATCAGCCCCTATAGCCACACCGAACACTGTGGGAAAATGTTGCTGAGTCGGGGGGAAGGTTATGCCATGGGCGATATCAACACTCGGATCCGTGTGAAGTTTCCTGACTGTGGGATTGTGTAGTTACTTTCTTTTGATGTCGTGCTGGATAGTGATCATCATTAACCAACCAGAACCGTAAGTACTAGAAAGCAACCAACTGCATGGGGCATACGGACAAAGAACATGTGTATATAGGTCTCAAGTCTGATCCTCTTAATCCCCGTATAGTAATCCCGGAACCATGCAGGGATTCTTTGGACAGGCAGCATCGCGGCGCGTCATCGCCTTGGCGAGCCTTATTTCTTATTTCTACAACTTCCCCAGGATCCCATTGCATATCTTGGACATCACTCTTCCCCGCATATCACTCGCAATGGCCAACGATTCTACTGTCTCGTGGGCAGAGGATGCCTTCGGGCCTGCCAGTCACGTGCGTGGGTTTGACTTTACGTTGACCTTCGAGCAGGTTGTTCTGTCGATTATCCCGTCTATAGTGTTGCTGCTGGCAGGACCATCTAGACTGCTCTATCTCACTCGTTGCCGTTCAAAAACTTGTCCCCAACAGAAAAAATACCTCTGCAAGCTGGTGAGGAAGATCTCACAGAATGCTTCAGTATCCCGCTGCTGTGACTGATGAATTCCAGGTCACCTCGTCCATAAACCTGGTTCTACAACTCTCCTTATTGGTGTTATGGAGTGTGTCGCCATCCTCGCGGACTTCAACGACTATCCCAGCTGCCTCTCTAAGCCTCGCCAATGCAATTGTAATCATTGGGCTCTCCTATATCGAGGACCGCAAGTCAACGAAGCCCTCTTCCCTCCTGACCATTTACTTACTACTCTCAATACTATTCGATGCAGTACAGGTTCGTACATTATGGTTGACGCATCGAATTCCCATGGCAGCGGTCCAGAGCGCCATTACTGGGACAAAGCTCGCCATGCTCCTATTGGAGATGCGAGAGAAGACCTCTTATCTCCAGTCCCCCTACAGGGACTATCCCCCGGAGGCAACCAGCGGCATTGTAAATCTCAGCTTTGTCTGGTGGATAAATCGACTTTTCATGACTGGGTACCGAAAGCTCATGGGGAATCGAGACCTTTATGATCTTGATCCCGGGCTTGCCTCTGGCCCTGCGGGCGAACGAGTGAAGAGAATGTGGGAGAAACAAGGTCTGTTCATCTTCATTCTTGGTTGCAACCGTCGCATGTGTAATATATTGACAAGTTCCAGGGAGCGCAAAAAGCAAGCTTACGCTACCTTGGGTCTTTGTCCGCTGTTTCTGGATGGAGTTTCTTGCCGTGGTGTGGCCTCGAGTGTGCTTGATTGGATTCAGCTTCGCTCAGCCTTTTCTGATCATGGCAGCAGTTCAGCATGTAGAGCGGCCGGTGACTACAGAGACCCGAGACCATGGCTATGGCCTCATTGGGGCCACCGTCCTGGTTTATCTGGGTATCGCGGTAGGCCCTTATTGTGCTATATGTACAGGCCATCTCTGATTGAAATCTAGTTCTCGAATGTCCACTACAGACAGCGCTTCTCGCGGGTATCCACGTTATTCCGAGGCGCAATGATCGCGTTAATTCATGACCGGACATTGATACTCCAGGATGGTCTCTACACAGAAAGTGCCGCACTCACGTTGATGAGTACTGGTGAGTAAAGTGGTGCACTCATATGTCCCGACAAAATGGGCAGTTGCTTACCTAGGAATGGCTTCGGATAGATGTTGATGGCATCATTGAACATTTGGAGAACATGAATGACGTCTGGGCCCGCACGATAGAAGTGACTATCGGCATAACCTTGCTGGGTATCCAACTGGGTGCAACTTGCATCGTTCCATTACTCCTTACACTGGGTCAGTCACAGATGGAGTATACACCATCAGGGAAGCAACATAGTACTTACTCTCCTGTCTAGCATGCCTAGTTGGCCAGAAGTTGGTGGCAAATTCCATTGGAAACGACCAACAGAGCTGGAACCTGGAGATCCAGAAGAGGGTCAAGAATACCTCAGCCGTCCTGGGTACCATGAAGGCAATCAAGGTCTCGGGGCTTTCGAAAGCGCTGGCCCAAAATCTTCAAGAGCACCGTGAACGGGAGCTTTTTGTATCTCGAGCATTCTTCAAAGGAATAATGTGGCTCAACGGTCTAGGTGTGTTGACCCCCGTTTGTATGGGTTACTGGTCTGACAGTAGCAGCAACTTTGCCCCGAATATGGTCCCCCGTCATCACCTTCACCGTCTATGCGATTCAAGCACGGATTCAAGGTGACGACTCTCTAACTACCGTGAGAGCATTTACCGCGCTGAGTATCATTACTCTTGTTACAACACCTGCTGAAAAGCTCCTCGCCGTTTTACCACAGCTAGCCGCAGCTATGGGATGCTTTCAGCGCATTCACGAGTACATAACATCTGATCCAGTCAAGGACGGTAGGTTAGGACGTACTGAAGTCTTAACGTTGAATTCGGCGATCTCTTCGGCCAACACAAATGAAAAAGGATTCACACCGCGAACTGACGATGAAGAGCAAGGGATTGTTATCGGGTTGGACAACGTCACAGTGCTACCTTCACCAAAGGCAATATCTGTCGCCCTGAAGAATGTGTCCTTCAAAGTAAGGCAGGGAAATCTACTAGTAGTAACCGGTTCTGTCGGCTCAGGCAAGACAACCCTACTCAAGACTATCTTAGGTGAACTTGACTGTCAGTCAGGGACTGTCTGTGTCGAATCGAAGCGTATCTCTTATTGCAGCCAGAATCCGTGGTTACTGAATACAACAATCAAGAAGAGCGTCACTGGCCTCGAAGATCACAAAGTAGATGAGAAGTGGTACCAAACCGTCATACGTTCATGCTGCTTAGAGGAGGACATTCATGGCTGGCCCGACGGAGATCAGAGTGAAGTTGGAAGCAAAGGCCTTGCTTTATCTGGTGGACAAAAGCAAAGAGTGGTATGCTATAAAGATCCTATTCTGTTTTACTTACTTCTTTACCGCGCTAATTGTGTAGGCATTGGCTCGTGCGGTATACAGTCGCCAGGACATAGCTTTGCTAGACGACACCTTATCCGCCTCGGACATGCAGACCCAGGAGATGATCATTGCACGGCTCCTTTCGAATGATGGGATATTTCGACAACTGGGAACAACAGTGATCCTAACAACCCACAACCGTAAGCCCTCCTGTCTACTGTGTTTTGTCCCAAGATTCCTAAGCCTTGACGTGTTTCTAGCCCGACTGCTTAAGGTGGCAGACAGCGTAATATCACTTAGCGCAGATGGGCAGGTCGAGCGCCAGACAACGGGTAAGGATGCTATTCAATACGCAGCCATTATTCGTGAAAATGAAGACACGGATGCTGGAGAGGCCGGCCTAAATGAAAAGACCTGGGATAAGGCAGCCAGTTCGTCAAACGGCGCTGCGAATGAGGTGGAGGATGATGACCGAACCAGGCAAATCGGTGACTTATCGGTGTACTACTACTACGCACGAATTGTTGGTCCATTTCTCTGTACCATGTTCCTCCTTGCGCATGCCTTGCTAGCCTTCGCCGAAAACTTTCCGCGAGTATGGCTAAGCAAGTGGACCGAAGCAGGCGGCAGCCAACTTCCACTGTACCTATCTGTCTATATTGTTTTGGCCCTAGCAGCATCGGTGCTCGTCTTGGGCTGCATCTGGGTCATTTTCCTTAACCTGATGCCGAAGTCGGCCATCCGTTTGCATTGGCGCCTGCTGAACACCGTCATTCGAGCACATTTATCCTTCTTCTCCACGACTGATAGTGGAGTGACACTCAATCGTTTCAGCCAGGACATGACATTGGTAGATCTGGCGTTACCTATATCTCTAATGTCTTTGGGACAGTCGTTTTTTGGATGCATCGCCACCGTGGGCTTGATCGCAACGGGCTCAGCATACATGGCCATCACGATACCTGTGACATTAGTGGTCCTGTATATCTTGCAGAAGATATACCTTAAGACCAGTAGACAGCTACGATACCTCGATCTGGAGTGCCGAAGTCCCTTGTACTCCCACTTCGTCGAGGTTCTCGATGGACTTCCCACGATCCGGGCGTTTGGTTGGCAGGTCGCATCGACTGAGGTTCTGATTCAGCATTTGGATCAGTCCCAAAAGCCATACTACATGCTTTCATGCGCGCAGAGGTGGTTGAACCTGGTCCTGGATATTGTGGTGATGGCATTGGCGACCATTGTGGTGACACTAGCCGTGGAGCTACATGAGAGCACCAATGCGGGCCTTCTCGGCGTTGCCTTGAACAATATTCTGGGATTTAATCAGCTACTATCGTTCTTCATCACGGCGTGGACTACCTTTGAAACCTCTCTCGGAGCAATAGCCCGCGTCAAGTCCTTTGTAGAGACCACTCCGTCTGAGGTTCCTCCTGGTCAAATTTCAGAACCACCAGTGTGCTGGCCTGAGCAGGGAGCAATCCACATCCAGGACCTCTCTCTTTCCTATCCCAATGGGACATCAGCGTTGCATGATATCTCGATGTGCATCACACCAGGGGAGAGAATTGGTATCTGTGGCCGTACAGGCAGGTATGTCTCCCCATACTCTTCAATTCTATTTACTACCCTAACGCCGTGTCCTATACCCTAGCGGTAAAAGCTCTTTCATACTCGCTTTACTTCGCCTTCTAAACCCATCCCACGGCACGATCACCATCGACGGGATTAACATCGAAAGCCTCTCCCCACCAGCAATCCGCGAGGCACTAATAGCCGTTCCACAAGATCCTTTCACGCTTCTAGGCTCCGTGCGGTACAACGCAGACATCATGGGCGTTTCCAACGACGAAGACATCACATCTGTATTAAAGCAAGTAGCATATGGGAGGCCATTGAAAGCCGAGGAGGTCTGGACGCATCCTGGAGGGTCACCCGCTGTCTCAAGGAGAACAGCAGTTATTCTGCTTAGCACGGGCAATTCTGAAGAAACGAACCCGCCAAAGTGGATGTCAGGTGCTGATCTTAGATGAGGCCACCAGCAACCTTGATAGCGAGACGGATCGTCGCACCCAACAGATATTGAAGGATGCCTTTGACGGCTGCACTGTTATCAGTGTAGCTCACAGGGTATGTTCTCCTTTCTTTTGTGCCCAGTAACCTACTATTCATTTCATCCTCAAGCGTTGATCTATTACGAGCTAATGAACTCGTATAGCTGGACACAATCATCAATTTCGACAGAATCGCCGTCCTAGACGCGGGACGTCTGGTTGAGTTCGACACGCCACAGCGCCTTCTCGCCAGAGATGGACTTTTCCGTCGGATGGTCTCGGCATTCGAGGAACAGGGGCTAGATGAACTATAACACTTATCTGATGAGTATATACCCGCAGCTAACCCTCATACCAAATCAGGAAGAAGTCATTGTACTGGTCAATCTGTCTTAATGATCTGCTTCTTTGCAGGGCCAAGCAAAGCTTGTATGTTCCAGTTCCAGAGTGCTCGGGGTCAAATATGATAGGTCATTGCGCGGTCTTTGCACGTTGGCGGGTTCGTCCGTCCGCATATGCATGTACTCTGTTCAATGTAGAGGATTTATGCGATGCATAAGAGTGGTGGGTGTCGTGTTGTGTTCCGTATTGTAGATGGAGGGTTGAATGTGATATACGTTTTGTATTTGATATTGGTTTATTATGGTTCATATTGCATATTCTAATGCTATGGAATGCATCTGCATAAGCGGATTTCAAAGAATGCCATCCTCTCAGGCCAAAATATGATATTATGGGAGGAGTGACATCAGGTCTATATACAAACATGGAGGTGATTTTTCCCAACCAAGGCTGCACCCTGCAGCAACAAGGACTCCTCATGCCGTTTGACATAACACGCTAAATTAAAAGATGATATCAAGATCATGATGACAGATGAAGAGAAGAAAAGAGACCTTCAAGGCTAAATTCAAGGACAAAGGGAGAGATGGGATCATGGCATATCGACGGTTCGTTCAACACCAGGTGAAAACTGGATTCTTGCTCTTCACAGCTTCCAATCGCTCAACGATCACTTTGCGCTGATTGCCCTCCATTCCTTCCGCAGCGGCATATCCAAGATCTCCTTCGAGATCGTCACTACTCCAGATCAGCTGCGCTTGGCCGCGCCCACTGGATATCGAACTGTGCTTTTGATGCTTATTGCCGGGCCGCGGCGGAAGGGAAGGCCAGCTTTGGTCCACGCTTCGCTCATGGAGCATGCTATCAATGCCATCCTGACTGACCCTGTAGTCGCCAATAGTGGCAGGGCTGCCGTTCGGTATTCTTCGTGTACTAGGCTCGTGGGATCGGCCACGTGACAATTCAAACCGGTTGGGGTTGGGCAGCTCATTCGGTGACGATCCAAGACCCAGGAGATCATTCTCGGGACCGGTCCCCAGCGACATGGATGCACCAATATCCATCTCTTCGTGGTCGGGGTCATAGTCGTAGTTCTCGTAGCTCTTCACCTTGCGTTTTTGTGCTTCTGTCGATGGTCCACGAAGGGGAATAGCAACGGGAACGTCCACCAGATCATCCCAAACGCACACCCGGGTTCGTCGCGTGAGCTCTAGCGGTCCATGGTCAGGCTGCTTCAACGTCTCCACAACGTTCCAAGCCTGTCCCTTCATGACTGCGATCTGTCTCGCAAACATGCTCTCCTTGAAGTCATCGTCCTGAGAAAATACGCGTCGCAGCGCCATTTGCGTGCCGCTCCACCAGGCTGTTGAGGTCAAGAGAGGTAAGAAATGGTCCCGAGTCTTCTGAGAGAAGGGCTGTCCGATCAAAGAAACCGGAAGGAATAGCCAGCCGAACGGAAAGCTTCGCCACTAGAGGGTGTGAGAAATTTGTTGCGACCAGGTTAATTAAGAATCTACTTACAGCATCAGGATGTTTCCACGGCCAGGACAAACTGTTATCGATTGCTCCGATCTGAATAGACGCTTGAGGCTCCGACGAGTTCAGAGGAGTGCCAGTGCGACTCACTGCCACCATCGCCTCGTGTCGCCTGTAGGGAAGAGGGGCAGAGGATGTGCGCTCCGAATTGACAGAAACGGGGCGAGCGGGAGGTAGATGGTCGTCATCATCGTCCTGCTGAGTCCCGTTGGGCTTGGGCGGATCAACGACAATAGACACTTCTTCGGTGTTCCAGTCGATTTTGATCATCCAGTTATCCAACCCACGGTCAGTATTGCGCATAATATAATCCAAAATCACCAACTTTTCCAACTCCTCGCGGAATGACTGCTTGAGACTCTCGGTCCAGTAGAACCGCCGTTCCCTACTCTCCTCCCTTGGTGATGGGGTTTGTATATCACCGTTCTCATAATCTTCCTCATCTTCATCATCCGACTGCATTCCAGAAGGACGACAAGCCTCGTTCCAAGGCCGCTTCTTGCGCTTTGGGGCATCTTCCGCGCGAAAGCCAGTATTGGTCTGGTCTGGCCAGGGATGGTCTCGGAGGAAGAGATTCGCATCCTTGTAGCCCTTGAGAAAGACCTGAAAGCTACCGGCCTTAGGGGGAAGGGGTCGCTTGCCCATCCATGCCTTTCTCCGGTCCCAGAAATCGTAGTAAAATGATTTCGAGGATAGCCACACGATATCGGTGTAGGGGACGAGATTAGTGCGCAGACGAGAGTCAAGGACATACGCGGCTGCTTCCGAGACATAGGATAAGTTGGGAATCAGGCAGGCACGACCAAAGAAGCATGGGAACAGGTTTCGATGGATCCATTTCGTCCACTTGGGATTGCGGGACGCATAAGGCTCCTCGTCTTTGGGTTTAAAAACCCCCACGACTTTGCCTTCACTGTTGCGCGCAAAATAACTACCGGAGCTTCCCTGAGAGATCATCCGGGGGTGCATTCCCATCAATATCGCTGAGTGGACACTCTCTACAACGTTCTCAAACTCCTCCCGCGCCCTTCGTGCTGCGCCTTCAATTTCATCCGACTCAAGCTCTTCGGCGGAGATTGGTCTGACACCATTCGGGGGTTGGAATACAGAGTGGTAAATTTCAAGCTTTTCTTCTTCCAAAGTCTTTCCCTTGACTTTGTTGATCTTGAACTTAGAGGCGATCTCTTCGGCCCACCGCTCGAGGCGCGCATTGATGGCCTTGATATCCACTCCGGAATTTCTTCGGCCTCGACGATGGTAGCCACTCGGTCTCCGACGATGTCCCGGGGGCGAAGACAAAATGGACGCATCCATTTGCGCGCGGGAGGAAATGGGAGCATATCGGGGAGCGGAGTGGGATGTTGTGCCGAGGGAGTCGTGTAAGTTATCGTCATCTGAATAATCATACAAGTCATTGGCTCTGTCTTCTTCCTCCTGGGCCAGACGGGCGTAACCCGAGGTCGCAGGTCGGTTTTTCGGCATGGTGTATCTGTGGTCTAATGGAAGGGCCGGGAGGCGAATGCAGGTCGTTGCATCTGAGGGAACGGCAGGGAGTGGAAGGAGGAAGCGAGAGAAGAACTAAAAGAGGGAAAAGAAGAAGAAGAACGAATCGAATTACGGCATTACTCAATAATGGCAGAGAGATTGCAAGTAAGAGAAGGGTTTCCCTCTGGGGAGTAAAAGAGGGAGGAATTGTAGATTAGGTGGTGAGAGAAGGGAACTTACTTGATCCCTCCAATAAAACCGCCGCCGTCATCCACCGAGAACTTGCACGGCCAACTCACAGAAGTGGCCCTTTACTGTACCGTACCGCGAAGTCCCGTGGCATGGAGCCCAAAGGCGAATAGCTAGTCTAGAGTCAGCCACAGGGCGGGTACTTTACCGTACCGCACCGCCACAGCCCTGTCCCGTGTGGCTCCACCGGAGCTTAAAAAAGCCCCTGAATTTTAGAGGATCAACTTGCCTTCATACTTATTTCGTTGCCTACCTTCGGCCGGAGTATGCGCAGCAGGACGATCCGAGAGGACGGGTCGTGTTCAGTTGCTCAAGGCCCAGGATTCGACCTAATCAGTAAACATACATTGTGTCTACAACCCTATTTGCCATTGAGCCGGTAGATCTGGTTGTATACAACTTGGGAACATGGCAGGTCGCATATATCAAGTATGAACCGAAGGAATTTCTGTTCTAGAAAGTAGTAACAAGTTGGACAGATGACATCCAAGGGACCGGTCATGTCTGAATCACCATAAGAACTGAGCCATCCGACAGACATTGGGGGTTCCGTAATTAATATATGATCAATGCGAGGCTCTAAGCACGGTTATTACCTGCATCGGTAGCCATCACGGTCCATGTCTCGGTTCTTTACCTCTCTCTGGAATGGTGTTGCTACCAAGATCGATATATTTCATATATCTCCTACGAGAAACGGGTCTAGGATCGGATCGGTGTCACGGTCTAGCTCATGATAGTAAGCGCCTTTAGACCTGAAGACCATCTGCCACCCCTAGTGATATCGAATTGAGGTAGTGACGATCTTTTATTGATTGCTATGCCAATACTACTATCCTCTCATGGCAAAACGAGCCCGCCTAGCAATCACCCAACGGAATTTTGCTACTTCATTAAATCCCCATCTCAACCCCCAAGAGCTGGACAAGATAGGGGGATGCAGGGGCGAGATGCGACTATCGCGTGGATTGTCATTTCATTCATTCCTAGCCCTGCGTGCTGCATACATAGCCGCATAAATCCTGGAGGCAGGAAGGAGTTAATAGGAAAAACCCACCGGCAGGAGCTTCATAATAGCGCAAATAGCCATGCAGCGAAAGACATAAACATAGTAAACTATTGAAACTAACGTTAAATTGAAGTGAATAAATACAACCACCAGCAGGGTCCAACGGATTTAGATTATTACATTTTATTAATAAAACCCCCCCAGCCAAGCATTGCTGTTGTTCCCGCCGATAAATAACAATCGATAGTGTCCGAGGGACGCGCGATAGCGATTCCGATAATCAATCTTTCTCCAGAACCTCTTCCTCTTTCTCTCCGTCTCGTGTAACGAACTTCTTGGCCACGACTGGACTTCTCTGTCCGATGAATTAAAGAGGTATGCTCTTCCTAACATTTGCTATCCGGTTGGCTCGCTATTCCTCCCAATCAATCTAAATCAATTACTCCTCGTCGTCGTCGTTCCCTGCCGGTGTCTATCCAGTCGAATTCTCCCTATCTCCTCCGTTCAGACCTTTTCCTTTCCCACTGACTTCTTCGGCTCTGACGTCCCAACGCTAAGAGTAGGAAAGGAATCTTTACTGCAGTATACTTTACATACGGACAGTCGATTTTGGTATAGGGAAAATAGGGAACATTCCACATCTTTCCTCCCTTTTTCTACGTGGCTGGTCCTTCCGAACGGCACCGGTTTCCTTCTTGTATACGACAACAGTCACGTACTGCTCCCAATTCGGTCCATCCAGGCCGGATTTTTAGCGGGTTCTTCTCGACACCATCCACAGTGGCTTCACTCTTGTTCCGGGCGTCGCCCATCGACCCAGCCCTGCGTCCTACCTCGCCGTCGGCCTCACAGTCTCACGATCTCAAGTACAACAACACTACTTCTTCAATCGACAGCCCGTCCACCTCTCGTCAGTCGACAACGGACGCGGTAGCGAGTGCATCGACAGCATCGTCGCAGTACTTTGGAGCGCTTCCTGAGTTTGGTTCTCTGGACAAAAGCCCTGGTAGTAGCGATAGCAACGGTAGCAGCTTTCCCGGTTCCCTAGGCCAATCGTTGTCAGGACTGTCTGCTCTGGCCTCGGTCGCATCGGCCCCAACTTCCAATCTGCGGTATGTACTTGGACTGGAGTCATAGCTGCTATCGCGCTATGTCCTTGTCGAAGGCGGTTCTGGGTAGCTTTGAAATATCTGCTGTTTTACGCTTCCTATCTTACGAACACTATGGTCCAGTGTCAAAGAATCCTGGGTGACTGACAAAGATTTTCTACGCGAACAGGAATTCTGGGAGTAATGCGCAGCCCATGACCAATATGACTTACGCGACCTCATCACCTGCAGCAACTACTGGTGGACAAGGCAATAGCCCTGTAAGTAGAGTGAACGTGTTGAGGAATTGTTCTTATCGTATCTGTGTTGGCGCTTATCAAGATGCGACCCCATTTTTTGGAATTTTTTTTTATTTTATTTTTTTCCTGGGGGAAGTTGGAAAGGCCTTCCCAATCTGTTATCAGCAGCCGATGGGGTCTTGGCACCGCACCACCCGCTGCGTGTCAAGTCTTATCGCGCCAGCCCGTCAAATCTCTCCCGATCTTATCAACCGTCGCTCCTTTCCCTCTATTCCACTATCAGCGCCATACCTCATCCACCCCATTGGCTTCCACCCTCCATTCTCGATCCCCTCGTCTTTTCCTACAATGGCGACGACCTTGACTGACCAGAAACGCCCTCAATTACAGCCCGTGTGCCAGAATTGTGGTACTTCCACCACGCCCTTGTGGCGCCGGGATGAACTCGGTTCGGTCCTCTGCAACGCCTGTGGCTTATTCCTGAAGCTCCACGGAAGACCCCGTCCGATAAGCTTGAAAACTGATGTGATCAAAAGTCGCAATAGGGTCAAGACCGCGGGTCAGGGCCCTAAGCGTAAGGTGAGCAGGAAACCCTCGAAAATTTTTCTATTCGTAATTATTGCTCTGCCGCAACTCGACCCCCCGAAGTGGCTCAAGACGCTGATATGTAATCGCCTCAAATAGTCCAGCAGTGCCGTTGATGCAAATGGACTCTCCACGTCCAGATCAGAGGCCGGTACTCCCCCACTTGGATCTCATGGATATCGTCGCGCGTCGCGGAAGATGTCACCTGGCCATTCGGATCGTTCCAACTCACCAGTCTCCCGAACAGAAACGCCTGGTCTTCCCCCGATGCAGCAACAGCTCCCGCCGCAGCACAACTCCAACATCGCGCCGCAGCACATGTTCGACAGTGTTACCCTGGGAGATCACGGTCTGACGAATGGGCTGTCATCTGGGCAACTTCGCCAGCAGTCCCCCACCTCGACCTCTGCAGCCGTGGACCGCCTGAACGAGTCTCCGCAGACAATCGAGGGACTCTTGGCCGCGAACACATCGTTGAAGACCCGCGTGCGAGAATTGGAGTTTGTCAATGACCTTTTTAGGGGCCGAGTAACGGAACTCGAACAGAGCGATGCTGCCGCGCGCCGGTCCGAGATGATCGCTCGCGACTCGGAATCGCGCCTTAAACGAGCCCTCGAGGAAGCGCAACGGCGCGAAGAAGACCTTAAGCGTCGGGTGTCTGAACTGGAACGTCACGTCGGGGAAGCCAGTAATGGCAACCCTGAAGGAGATGAAAGCCCTGGTGAGCCCATGGCGAAACGAATGAGGCTGTCTGATGTGGTAGATCAACCCTCCACTTCTCCTACCAAATCGCCAAAGAGCGTCTAACCACAGGGATCACAGGGATCGAACGACGGTTCGTGAATCTCATCGGGCCCCCCTCGATTCGGGCGAAAAACGAAGTGCAACCGCTTTGCTGAGTTCTCTGATCTACCTTGGTCTTTTTGATACCCTTTACGTGTCTTGTCATTTGGCTGGATGTATATCGGACTAAAACTAATAACTCTCCCTTCCAATACTTCAATTCTTTTCTTCATTCGTTTCCCTATTTCACATCTTTATTGCTCTTGGATTACCGAGCACTTTGAATTCCGGTACGGGACGGAGGAGATCACTTTTGGACAGCAAACCGCGGAATCGCGACAACGTTTATATGAAGAAAAGGGGATTGCAAAACCAAAGCGGGGGGCAGCCATGTTCAGTTATTTTGTGTTCATTATTCCCAATTGTTTTGTTTCTTTTACCGCCTAGCTTTGGCCTCCTCGGATCGTCGAAGCCCAGGATGACGATAGGATTGCAAGCCGGACTGCAGTGGTTACGTGGTAATTGATTGAATTTTTATCTTTCGGAGAGAGCGTCAGGATCTGGCAACCCAGCAGGGAAATGACTCGTGCTGAAAATTTTTGATATCTTGTGGTTCTAAGATGCGTTCCATTCTATTCTACCGTGTTATTTTTAGCTAGTCTTTTTTCTTGATGTGACTCTATAATGTGTACGGTATGATGTGTGAATGCCCAAATCGGCCATTTATCGTTGTCTGTCTTATCTTATCTTTACCTGTTTATCTATTATCTTCTCCCAATGGTTTCGCGCCGGTTTCGGTTATCTTACCTCGGCTATTACGGATGACGCTCGGATATGGCTCACTTACTACTACGTACGAAAGTGGATAGTGCAAGTTGAACAAGTATGATTTTTGGATGTGTTGACTATATACAAGGCATCGCCCACTGATTCGTGAAGGAGCGTGGAATTATCAAGGGAAATGCAGAATGAATACCTCAAGGACGAAAGATAGGCCTCCCAAAAAATTATCATCCGTCTATACATCTCCCAGTAGTGACATATGAGATGAGTTATTAACGTCGTCGCAGATACCGCTAAAACTTGGGTATATAGCTAATAAGAAACATGTAAGAAATGGCTTTTCGGCCAGGCAATTTTGAAAGATAGAGAGGCGCCCGCTCTTTAGCGGGCGGCACATATATATCCCTTCCCGTCTTAAGCAAGACGGTCGTGTTCAATCTTCTTGCGGATCGCGCCGTGGACCCGCCTCTCGCGCAAAATACTCCACAAGCATACTATGACGCCAGCTACTCCCGAGAAGAATGTGGTATAGTATGCCGTCCGGTAACAGCCCAAGCCGTCGGGGCAGTCCCGGTCTCCATCTGGACCGACAACAGAGTGTCGGTCGTAAATGCTGCCGTACAGCAAGTTGAAGACGTTCCCACTCAGAACGGGGGCAAGGGTCATCACGCCCCAGTTTTGGGAGAGGCCTCCGATGCCGAAAGTGTGAGCTACCAGAGAGGGGAAAACACCAAAAAGGAAGCCGTAGGCGACCCCCGTGAATCCCGAGACGACCATCAACTGGTGTGGGTTGGATATCGCGGCTCCTGCTAGTTGAGTTACGGTGAATACAACCGCGGAGATGAATAGGCACCAGAATCGTGACATGTCGAGCTTCTTGACTAGTAGATCTGATCCAATTCCTAAAGCGATAACTGTCGTTAGAAAATGTATGGACTAGCAATGTCGTGGTGGCACGTACCACTGAACAGTCTGCCGATGAAGTTGCCAAATGATAGGATGGACACATGCATGACCTGTCTCTGTTGGATGAATCTGGAGGTAGCACTATCGTCGTAGTATTTCCACAATGCTTTGGCCTGCGGGGGTTAGTATATAGATGAACGTGCTGGTAACATGGGTGTCTTACGCTGTTGCCAATGTTGCTATGATCATTGTTAGTATCTAAGTATCTAAATGAAGTCAAGTGAGGTAGAGTTAAAACATACTTGATTGTCATCAAACCGATTCCAGAAAGGAGAGCCATCGTCAAGAAAAGCTGCCAGAACTCTACTTTGGGCAGCATTGCCAAGCCTCTAATGTCTGGGTGAGGTGAGCCGACGCCATCTACGAGAGCATCATCTTCCTCCTGGTCAACCTCCCGAGAGTGCCTTGGGGTGCTTTTGGATACCAACGATGACGTTTCATCCAAGTCGGGATTGTGGCTAGAATGGTGGGAGTGGTTCGACGCGCCAGATTGCGACCGTACATGCATTGGGGAGTGGGATTCAAAAGCTGTAGAACTCTGCATACCTGCTTCATCAGACTCTTCTGGAACATAACGCAAATCAGAGGACTTCGTCCTATGTAGTTGGGTGGACTCTGCTCCTGGCGATCGATCCCGTGATAAGGCCATGTACGCTTTAGCTGGGGGCATGAGCCGAAGGAGGGGAATGGAGACGAGGTTGAAGACGAAAGTCCCCACTGCCAGCAGCAGAAGAAACCGGCCAGTGTCATCCTTGAAAATGAACGATGAGACGTTAGACCAGAAAAAGGCGCTCAGTCCGAAGGCTGCCAGGGGGAATGCGGTCGCTGTTCCCCGATGATCGGGAAAGTTCGTTGCAGCTAAAGTTGACGGGTCTTAGTTCCGAACGAATGTTCGTGAGGCAGAGATCAACACACCTGTCTTAATCGAAGCCGAGAAGGCGGAGCAACTTCCGAGGCCAGTAAGGAATGAGAAAAAGGACAACACGCCAACACTGAGCGAACCCTTTCCGTGCTCATAGGCTATAGTTATCGATCATAATCAGTACAAACATCCATAAGCGCCAGTGACAATCGGACAAACAAACCTATATATATAGGATAATAGCCTATACCAAGGGCCACAGCACCAATAAAAGTCGTGAGTCGTGGACCTCGAGTATCGGTTAACAACCCCAATGGAACTCCTGAAGCATACATCCCCAGATTTCCAGCCGTGCCCTGTGAGACATTAGTACGACATACATCGGCTTTTCCGAGGAAAACGAGACAAGCTTACAATGAAGTTGCTCTCAGTTGACGAGATCTTCATTTTTTCCGCAAATTGTGGCGCCCATGCCGAGTAGGCATACTGCGGTCCATCAGTACTTGTTTTTTGGTTGATGGTCCAGGCCATGAGTGTAGTTCAAGAGGGAGTTGGGCGCAGGGACAAGCATCACGGCAATCATACATTGGTCCCACAGGCCAGCGCTACTAGTGTGCCCGCAACCACGGATATAATGCGCCTGGTTTTATGTGTTGACTCGGCCATGGTGGATTGTGACGGTGCCGTTGTACCGAATCGATAAGTGAAGGGCTATAGTATTCCTCCCAGCGCATACACTGCGTAAGCAATTGAATGGAAATTGGGGCAGCGGGGAGGCGTCGAATAAATGCCGATTCCTTTCGGCGAATGGGCAAGATAAAGCTTATCAGCGTCACAGACGTCAGGATGGTATAACAGAAGGAATAGAAACGATCCAACGAACGAATGCAAGGGGTGGTACGGGATATTAAATACGAGAAGTGGGAGAGAAGTTTACAATCCAACGAGTGTAGAGAAGAATAAGATTATAGAAAAAAGAAAATTGAAAACTAAAAAAAGAGGGGGAGGTAAATTGAACAGGGAAGAAAAAAAAGCACGCGACGACAGAAGCCAAAGTGGCCGTTGGACTCGTAATCTCTCCCGAACTAAATCGTTCTTGACCCCAAAATGTATTCGGAGGTACCACCCAGTATACGTACAAGTACACAAGTACCGTCAGGTACAGTACTTGAAGTACAGCGTTATCGGCCTGGATAAAGTTAACACCCCGTCGTCGCTTATGTAACCGTTATCGGCACATGACGAAGGCGGCGGCGACTCTTCCGGTTGCTTGCATCCTCCATGGCATCATTCAATCGGTCGACGCAAACTCACTCGCCAGGACTAGTATATAACATTAAACCTTACTGCTAAGTATCATTTGGTGAAGTTCACAGTCCCTTTCCTGGGAAGGGCGCCTTAACAACATGGGTGCTCTACTTTCTCTGCCACTTTTGGCGGTGCCAAGTGCCAGTACCGTACGTGCTTCTCCATTGCTACCTGATCGGATCTCAACTGATATCAACTTAGCTCATAACGCTTGCAACTTCATGTTGCGGGGCTGCAACTTGCTCGGCAGTATGTAGTGCGTGCGGAAAGTTTCAGAATAGGTAAGTATTTTTCTGCGCTGACTGAGGATGTGATAAGTCGCTGACATCCGGGGCCCCGGATTTCTAGTATGGCTACGAGAATCGCCTACGCCTTCATTCTTCTGATCAATTCAATCGTTTCGTGGATAATGCTCACACCATGGGCACTCAAGAAGCTACAACATCTGACGCTGGACTATATGGAAATCACTTGCGACGGCAAAGAATGCCATGGTTGGGTGGCGGTCCACCGTATTAACTTCGGTCTTGGTCTCTTTCACTTGGTTCTTGCGGTGTTCCTGTTGGGGGTGAGGTCATCCAAAGATGGCCGTGCAGTCCTTCAGAATGGTTTCTGGGGCCCGAAGATCATCCTATGGATCGCCTTCGTGGTCATGTCATTCTTCATCCCGCAGTCATTCTTTTTCATCTATGGCCGCTACATCGCCTTTATCTGCGCTATGCTCTTCCTGTTACTGGGTCTTATCCTCCTGGTAGATTTGGCGCATTCCTGGGCTGAGATCTGTTTGCAGAAGATTGAGGACAGCGACTCTCGAATTTGGCGCGGGCTGCTCATTGGCTCAACTATTGGCATGTACATCGCATCGATCGTGATGACAGTCCTGATGTATGTTTTCTTCGCCCGCGGTAATTGCACCATGAACCAAGCCGCGATTACGGTAAGTCATGAATCACTGGCCACATTTGTCTTACTGGGGCTCGGCTGACGGATCAGGTTAACCTCGTTGTTTTCTTGATCATATCCTTCGTGTCCATTCAGCCTATAGTGCAAGAATCCAATCCGCGAGCGGGTCTGGCTCAAGCAGCCATGGTGACTGTCTATTGCACGTATTTGACTATGTCGGCTGTTTCAATGGAACCAGATGACCGCCAGTGCAATCCTCTAGTGCGCGCTCGCGGGACGAGAACGGCCAGTATTGTTGTGGGCGCCATTCTTACGATGGCTACCATCGCATACACGACAACACGTGCAGCCACTCAGGGGCTTGCGTTAGGATCGAAGGGCGGCCACAACTATTCGCCGCTGGGGACGGATGACAACGAACATGGTCTTGTGACACAACAGCCGACCAGTCGTCGCGAGATGCGTGCCGAAGCTCTTCGTGCCGCCGTGGCTAGTGGCAGTTTACCCGCCAGTGCGCTCGACGACGACAGCGATGATGAATCTGATGACTATAACACCAAAGACGATGAACGAGGGTCGACGCAGTATAATTACTCCTTGTTTCACGTGATCTTCTTCTTGGCTACGACATGGGTGGCCACGCTTCTCACCCAGAGCTTGGAAACCGATGCCGAGAGTACAGATGACTTTGCTGCCGTGGGGCGGACGTACTGGGCCAGCTGGGTGAAGATTATCAGCGCTTGGGTTTGCTATGCGATTTACCTGTGGACGCTGATTGCCCCGGTGGTTATGCCTGATCGATTCGGCGTGTATTGAAATTGTTAGACACCGTCACCTTAAGTTGTGTTGACTATACAGTGGAGTTGGGCGTTCAATAGCAATGAGAGTTATTCCGATGTCCACGGTGCATGTCGCTTCCTGGACTGTTATATAGTTTGCTGCATGATATTGTAGTTATGACGAATGAGACTGTGTCTATTATATATGGAAGCCACGAGATTGAACTTAGTCTGAGACCTATGTATTCTCGATGTACAGCCCGTTTTCCCACCCCTATGAATCTCCGTAATTCGAGCAACTTGAGTATCTATGGCCATTCCTACTAAATCTACTGAATCGTAGAAGGACTGTGAATACTTGGGATATCAAAAAACAAGGAAAGAGTTAATTTCAAGCCGTACGAGCGAAGCGAGTTGTAAACAGCTGGTTTTATGAATGTATTGTAGATGGAGATCAATCTTATCTTGTCCGATGCTTACCGATCGCGGTATCGCGTAAAGTGGCCGACAACCGCGTAAGTCGCGTTCGCATCGACCATCTTCACCATGGGCTGAATATGGCGACCATCAAGGCCATCGAGGCCCGTTCGGTACGTACCTATGAATCTTTAATTGATCAGTCCCTAACTTCGTCGTGTTGCGCCTTTTCAGGTTCACCAAATCCAATCCGGTCAAGTCATCATCGATCTCTGCTCCGTTGCTAAGGAGCTGGTTGAAAACAGTCTCGATGCCGGTGCCACATCGATCGGTAAACAGGACCCTTGCACTTTATATAGATCTACATGCGCCTGTATATGGTTTCTTATAGAACCGCAAGCTGACCAAGATCAATCTATCTTTCACGACAGAGGTCCGATTCAAGAACAATGGACTGGACATGATTGAGGTGCAAGACAACGGCAGTGGAATATCTCCGGAGAACTACGAGAACGTTGGTAAGCTTTCCCCCAGTCTTCCTATTCTAGTATAGGAAGTATCTAACTCTCCGTCTCACCAGCACTCAAACACTACACATCGAAGCTTTCTTCCTATGAGGACCTATCGCGGCTACAGACGTTCGGTTTCCGCGGCGAAGCATTATCGTCCCTTTGCGCCCTGTCCGAGTTCCATGTTGTCACCGCTCAAGCCAACCAGGCTCCCAAAGCCAATCGTCTTGAATTCGAACTCCGGGAAATTGAAGAAGACACAGATTGTCGCGGGTCAGAAGGGCACAACGGTATCGGTGGAGGGACTGTTCAAGAGACTACCGGTGCGGCGCCGCGAGCTGGAAAAGAACATCAAGCGTGAATATGGAAAGGTTTTAAATCTTCTCCATGCGTACGCGTGTGTCAGCACAGGCGTACGTTTCAGCGTCAAGAACACTGTCGCAAAGACCCGGAATGTGGTGGTCTTCTCCACGAACGGTAATCAGACAACAAAAGAGAACATCGCCAACGTCTACGGTGCGAAGACGTTACTGGCTTTGATTCCGCTCGATCTAACCCTGGAGTTCGAGCCATCTGCGGCTGGGAAGCGAGCCGCTGTGGACGAAGAGCGGGAGTTGAATCAGATCTTCGTTCGGGGGCATGTCTCGAGACCCGTTTTCGGGGAAGGCAGGCAAACACCGGACCGTCAGATGTTCTTTGTCAACTCTCGTCCTTGTGGATTGCCGCAAATAGCCAAGGCGTTCAACGAGGTCTACAAATCTTTTAACGTGTCACAGTCACCGTTTGTGTTTGCGGACTTTCATATGGATACTAACGCGTACGATGTTAATGTTTCACCCGATAAGCGCACAATTTTACTGCACGATGCGGGGGTTTTGATCGAGTCTCTAAAGACATCTCTTACGCAGTTGTTTGAATCGTCGGATCAGACAGTTCCTCAATCTCAAGTCAACAATGCTAAGCAGTCAGCTACTAAAGGGAAGCTGCAAGACATTCTAGCTCGTAAATCTTCGTCCGGGGGTGCAGAGGCTGCGGAAGATGAGGGCTCAGAGCTGGATGAAAGCCAAGCTAATGGGAGAAGCAGGCTCAACTCCCAACATAGGATGAGGAGCTTCTTGAGCGATCTCGGGTCGTCACCTGGTGGTAGAGCGAGCATACCCTCGTCTCCCCTTCGTGTGGACAAAGCACCTGTGCGTGATCCGACATCGTTGCCTCCAAATACGCCTACTCGACCAAAACCTAACTCACTAGATGAAGACAACGAGCTCTTCGTTCCTGAAGAGCCATCTCCGGGTGCAGACGAGAGCATGCGACCAGAACGCGCCGCTGATGATGACTCGCAGATTGCTGATGATGACGATGCTCCACAGAGTAGTGCACCACCAGATTCACAGCAGACAACAATGCAGGGACGAGAGCCATCTGTGGAAATGCCCAATACTATACAGAATGCATTTGACCGAATGAGGCCAAGACGAGCGCCGGCTGAGTTGGCGACGATCACCATCGGAAACAAGACTGTGACGTCCATAGTTGGAAGTGGTCCCTACAGAAAACGTGATATTGACCACGTCGACACTACTAACTCCCCGGCTCGCAAAAGACGTATACATACCCCGTCTCGTCCGAGGATATTTGGGAAGCACATGAGGGGCTTTGCAGCGCCTGGAACTCAGGTAGATCACAGCGCGAGCAGCGAGGCCGAGGAAGAGGATGACTATGAAGAGGAAGAGGAAGCTGATGACATGGCCGATGAAGAGGAGGAAATCGAAGATGAAGAGCCTGAGGATGATTCTCGATCTCATGTCCGTTCAGATCAAGATAGTGTTCATTCACAAGATGAAGCTCTACCCGAGACTGAGGTCAAGGATGAACCGGCAATGTCTCAGCAAGATGCTCCACCAGTGGAAAAGACCTTAAGCGATGAAGAGAAGAAGAAACACGAAGAAGCCGAAGTTCAGCGGCTGATTCGACAGGCGGAAGAAAAGGCTGCCTTGCCACAGGAAAGCAATATCAACCGTGCGAACAAACTGAATAAGGGCGCGATTCATCGTGATTCCACAGTCAACCTAGTGAGCACTATTGATGGGTCACTGTCTAGGATTCAGCTTCAGATCGACAAGCTTCAAGAAAGCCTTCGCTTACATGACTCGGATGCTGCACATTCTCGGGACGATGAGGCAGAAAATTCGCAGGAGACTGCTGAGGAGCGGTTGTCACTGACTGTTACTAAGGATGACTTCGGCAAGATGCGGATTGCTGGGCAGTTCAACCTGGGATTCATTCTAGCCACCCGATCCTCAACAGGTATCTCTGACTCGACATCATCCAGTTCGAAGGATGAGCTTTTTATCATTGACCAGCACGCTTCCGACGAGAAGTTCAACTTTGAGCGACTCCAGGCGGAAACCGTGGTGCAGAATCAACGACTTGTGCAACCGAAGCAGCTGGATCTGACGGCGGTCGAAGAGGAAATCGTGATAGAGAACCAATCTGCGCTGGAGAAGAATGGCTTTGTCGTCGAAGTCGATGACAGCGGCAATGAACCGATTGGCCGCAGGTGCAAACTGGTCTCGCTACCACTGAGCAAGGAAGTCGTCTTCGGCGTGCGAGATCTGGAGGAGCTCATCGTCCTGCTTTCTGAGATGCCGGCGAGCAGCGCCGCGGGGCCCATGTATGTTCCGCGACCGAGTAAGGTGCGAAAAATGTTCGCTATGCGGGCGTGTCGGTCCAGCATTATGATCGGAAAGAACTTGTCCCAGAAGCAAATGACGCGAGTAGTAAGAAACATGGGCAGGATTGACAAACCATGGAACTGCCCTCACGGTCGACCGACCATGCGACACCTGATGAGCCTGGGACAATGGAACGAGTACGATGAGTTCGACGGCGATGAAGAGAGTGAGTTGGAGGATCGCCGGTCATGGACGGATACCCTGGCTATCTGGAAGGATTACTTCGGAGAGACGACCGGCGAGGGAGAGGAGAGTGAGGGCGGAGATGAAGATGAAGCAGATTAACATCATTATCCTTTTTGGTTACGGGTCTTATTTGTTTATACAGCGAGGTATAGAACCATGAAATTGACTTGGATACTCAAGAATGCTACTTATACCCAATGGCATATCATCATATCATCAACCCTAACCCATCGCGCAGAAGAAGCCATCGAACAATTACCACCACTGAAACCAGCCCTTCCCCTTCTTCCCATCCTTATCCCCATTGCCAGCCTGCTCCCCAAACCCATTAACCCTTCCATTCCCCTCCAACGCCCCATCCTCCCCATACCCATTCCCATTCCCATTCCCATGATGATTCCTCGCTTCCTCTTCCTCCGCCAGTCTCACCGTCTCCTCGACAATCAACAAATCCCGCTCAATCAGCTCCGCCCAGTTCTGGACATCCCCGATCTCCTTCAACCCGTCCCTCGCCTGATCCGCAACCTTGGCAAGCTGATCATTCTGCTTGGCGAGCTGCTCCGTCGCCCGCCGCACGTCGGCCTCCTGCTTGTCCAGCACGGTGGAGTTCTCGTGGAGGGTGCGGGCTCGGTCGCGGAGTGCGGTTTCGTAGTTTGCGCCGACGGAGCGAAGGGAGGCTTCGAAGGCTGTTTTGGCCTCGGAGGTGCGTTGTTCGGTTGATTCTGGGGTGGTTGATTGGGTTGGTTCTGTAGTGTTTGATGTGGCGGTGGTAGTTGTTGTGATTGTAGTTGGTGGCGGAGAAGTAGACATTTTGGAGTTTAGATTGAGGAGTGTGATTTATGTGGTCCGAGTATTGGGGGTATGTTATAATGCGTAAGTTGGTGTATAGAATCTAGATAGTATGGAGTGGGTAAACTGGGGTTTTAGATGCGTTTTATGTATCAATGGAGTTGGTTGGCGACCCCACTTGGAGAGTGCGCTAAGAGGCTGTCGTGCAGATGAGCTGCATGAATCTATTGGGTACTGGCATTGTGGTCATACTAGGGCTCAGGAGGTGTATATATACAAGAAATCACGATAATGTTCGTATATCAGACGCCGAAGCTTCTGAATCTCCCACACCTGCGTCGAGAATCACCCCCAGAGCTCGTTTCTGTCTGCTCCCTGGCAATACGCCCGGGCGTAGGTCTCCACCGTCTGTCGATATTGTTGCTGCATCGCGGTTGTACAACGTCGTGGCTCGCATGATGCCTCCGCGTCGGCGGGCGATGTTGATATACCCTGAAAACGAACGGGCTGGAGGGTGAAGTTTGTGAGGTTCCTGTTGTCGTGGACATTACCTGGCTTGGGCATATTTTCAAGGATATCCCGTTCTCAAATAGGAGACAGAATAGGTCAATATCGTACGTCGCCAGACTGAGTCGGAGCCTGCCGTTATGGGCTTGGGATCATGTTAGGGTTAGCGCGACTTCGAGCATTATTTTGACGAGTTCCTCCCGTTGATGTGATTTGGATAGGGATGTCACATACAATCTCACGTTGGCAGCAGGATTGCGAGATACTCATGATGCTGTGACAGGCTTCCTAGAGATTCACCTAGTATGTAGTAGGTAGAAAAGGTATCGGACTTTGATAGATGTATACAAAGTGTGATTCTGTGAGTTAGGGCTGCCTTACATTGGTATTCATACATGGATGAACTATTGCGATAGGAGCTACTCCATGCCCAGCGTAGAGCATCTATTCTTAGAAAGTAGAAGGTCACTACCTCGAGTGCCTGTCATGGTATACTATACTGACTTCCAGCAAGGCTGTATAGCACTACAGATTCCTCTCTTGACCATCACGAGATCGCGGGTGATTGAATATCTCCGATTGCCGATGCGGCTTTCTTCCATGTACCTAAATGCACAGCCCCATTACCTTCGCCAGGCTGACTATTAATAGGGTCTATTGGGCAACAGAGTCGCGAAGCTACACATTCTACAACACAGCTGTGTGATTTCAAGACACACCCTCGTACAACCAAGGCAATGTCCCAATACACATATTCTCGACTCCCGCCGAGGTCGGACACAATTCGCATGCTTCGCCTCCTGCCAAGCGAAGACAACACGACTCAAATCCAATGCCAGCTGGTCAACTACACCCTACCAAGCACAGGTACGGGATATCACCCATATGAGGCGTTATCGTATGTATGGGGTAGTGAGAGCACCCCTCAGTCCATTCGTATTGATGGCCAGATTCTATCCGTGACAAAGAACCTCTATACTGCATTACTGCATCTTCGAGAGCACCAGCTTGAGCGCCTGCTCTGGATAGATGCGATCTGTATCAACCAGGAAGACGAGGAGGAAAAGTCCCAGCAAATTCAGTTCATACCGACGATATATGATCAGGCGAGCCATGTCATTGTTTGGCTCGGAGAAACAGCTGATCAGAGTGATAAAGCCCTTGAAGTAATTCGTCTTGCTGGCGATGACGATACTCGCAGTCGCTGGCGTAGAATCATGGGGAAGGAAATACGTCGACAAACCACTCGGCCAAAAGGATATATCCCCGATCAGGATGACGAGATCTATTCAGCCGTTGAGAGGCTACTAGAACGACCTTGGTTTCGGCGCATTTGGGTATGGGCTGCTGTTCTACACCAATCCTTATCAAACCTGCTGAATAATTAGTATAGGTGCTCCAGGAGGTTCACGCTGCGCGATCTATTCTGGTTATGTGTGGCCACGATAAGATCAATGGCTATTCCTTTTGGTTGGGCTTGAGCCTTTTTAGATTATATATGGACAAACCCAATTTACAGAGCCTGGTTGGTTCGATTACACATCTTCTAAGGGGCTCGATCTTCCGATCTGAATATACTACACGTCCGCGTGGAACACTCACTCTAGGCGAATTGATTGACATGTATCATACCCGAGCGGCGACCAAGAAGCACGATAAAGTGTACGCATTGCTTGGCATGAGTTCCGACACCCCTCTGGTACCTGATTATAAGCTTCCATGGGACAGCGTGTTCCAGCAGGTCATCACTTATACTTTCTCAGGAAAAGGATCTGTGCAAATCTGGCCCCACTGTGATTTGGCTCTGATTCGAACCAGGGGCTATATACTGGGTGAAGTATACAGGGTGGAAAGTGATACAAATCGATATGACAGACAACGGGTGTTCATCGAGAATTTTGCGCTACGGGCGAATTCCTGGGAGTATCGCCCATTGCTTCTGGGCGCAGCAATCGATGTATGGACACTCCATGTTTCAGCAAAGCCTGTTCAGGATGGTGACATTATGTGTCTTTTGGAGGGAGCTTCAAAGCCGAGTATCATCAGGTTTTACAATGGCTATCTCGTTTTTATCATAGTCCACGCTACTCCTCTGCATGAGTGGGAATGTGAGATTAAGAATTGGCATGAGGCGTTCGAGGCTCTGCGTTCAAAGAACAGCCCCATCCGCGATATGTCTCTCATCTGGGAGTGGGCATATTCAGGGAACCTGGATGGATGACTCGGAAATTCTAATGGAATCGAATGATGCAACACCGTCTGGACAGCTAGGGGACGGACTCTGGAGAAAGCAAAAGGTTGGGTGATTTGTCGCTTGTTGCGGAACATATCTTCGTCAATCAAGTGAGACATGGGGGAGTAAGTATCTTACCTTGTCAAAGGATTCCAAGCTCCCAGTACTACGACAGTGGCAGCAGCAATGTGTCCGATATGAGACCATATCAATCTCAGAGCTTGTGGTCAAGTCAGTCGCAGTCAACAAGGAGAGTGGCTATCGTATAGTACGAATTCTACTCGATCTGACCAAGCAGGGAATGGCAGCCAAGGGACAAGATCATGACTTTACTACAGATTGATGAGATGCAGCAAAGGGGAGAGACTCTGCCAATCCTAGAAAATATACAAGTCTAAGCACCAGCACCGCCAAGACCCCAAAGAACAAGCACAAAAACCAACGTATTTACATTTCCTCGATAAATTCCTTCATAACACCCCCTCTATCACCTCCCATAGACCACATACTCAATTCTGACATTTTGGGTCGCCTCACTACCACTTCCCAACCCCGAATCAGAATTCCGCCAAAGCCCTAACAACCCTCCCAATGACCCAACACACATTAAAGGATCGGCTATGTCGCCGTCCGAACAACGCTGCTCTGTGCGTCCAGCCACTATAACCCAGCTCCTCCCTTTTATTATAGCTTCCCCCACTAACGCTGCCTCCAAGTCTGGCTATTACAAACCTGGCTGCGAATACCCTCGGGCGCTGGGTCGACCAGAATGCTGCGCACTGGCTGAATCACATTATGCTCGCTGTCAATTTCATCGTACTCGCCACCACTGTGGTGAGAGAAGCGCGGCGGTCGACTGGTGATCCGGGTGTTATACGCACTGGCGGTGATCAGACTGGTTTAGGTGAGAAGGAGCGCCTTGTTGATGCTGGGAAGGAGTAGGAGTTTATCTTATATGAGTTGATTGTGTCTCTCTGGAGTTAGAAGTGTGAAATACTGGAGCTGGGCTTCTGTATGGGAGCTCAGTGCTTTGCTTTATTTCTGTATGAATATCGTGTACTGAGTTTCTTCTTTCATGTTTTATTATATGGAAGAAGTTATTGATGGACTGTGATTATGTTTTCTGGAATATATGATATAGTATACTCCGTACCGAGTGAAAAAAAGATTAGTCGTGAATGGGCGTTGAGTATTCCAGATTTCTATAATCTACTTATGTATCACACATGCATGTTGCAAGTTCATCATTAGATGTTGTCCGACAACATATGCTCCATGTACAGGCTAACATCCCGAGTACATTCCAACTCTCATAAGCAACTATTACACTCGTTCAAATTCGCTGAATGCTTCAGATCATCCCAAAACGCCATGCATGCCAAACCGAAATATCAACATTTTCCCGCACGAATATATGTATTAAGGTACCGGGGGCAAGATCAAACAAGGAATAAAGAAACTCAGATACAACTTTACATATTTGCCAGTTCTTGGTCAATCTGGCGATCGAGGAATGCTCGCTTGTCTCCGGTCAATGTCGCTTGAAGGCGCTGCTCGACCAATACACGAACTATGGTCGTTTCAGTTAGCATGTATCTCATAACACGGCTGCGTTCAGGTGCTCACCTTGCTTCTTCGTTACCGTGTCCAGGTCTACTTCGGCCAGACAGCTACGAATAGCATCCGTAATGGCCATCTCATCAGGCCCGCCACTTCCGCGGAAGTCAAATGCACTTTGAGGCCGGGAGGTGTAACCACCTACTGGGCTCCGAGAGTTTGGCCGGGGAATCCCCAGGAGATTGTCAGTGCTCTGCATGAGTCCAACGCTATGCCGACTTGACGGAGCCTGGAACTGGCTGAGATTTCCCACCGACAGGTTTCGAGACTGGTGCCCTGGCTGAAGCGGCATATCGGTATACCGACTAAAGCTGGACATGTGCGAATGCCTGTTGCCTGGGATATTGCCGCCGAACGGGGCGGGCGACTGCGGCGGCATGTAAGGGCTACTATTCCGGCCTGCTCCTGGGAATCCGGTTAAGATTGTGGATGCAGGCTTGACCGAGGAATACTGGGAATGCATATCATCCATTTCCATGCCCATATCTCCATATTGACCTCCGTAGAATTTCTCCTGGCTCATGCTATAATCTCCACGGCGGCCCGGCAGGTTATTGGCAAGAGCGTAATCGTCCCAGCGCTGGAGAGGAATACTGCGGGGGTCAAATGGTTCGTCTTCTACCGCAACAACCCGCTTGGATCCC